AATATTTGCTAATAAATTTTTTCCTACTTAAGGTGTAACACTATTAAAAATTATGTTAAGGACATCTTTAAATTAGTATATATATACGAGTTACAAAGTTATAAACGTATACAATGGATAGTTTCTCCGACTGTTTTCAAAGGTATAATCAAATGTATTAATTTTGTATATTAATACTAATTAATTGTATAGCCCAGACTGGCCAGTTGTTCGTGTCTCGGGTATATCAGTACTCGAGAACAGTAACATCAATATCTCAGTAAACCCAGAGATAGTGAGTTTATTGGATGATGTGTCCGACATTGAAGACAACACTACAGTAAATATTATAAACCGTATGTTTTCAGAATTTGAAGAATTACGAATTTACTTCTCATATACCGGACCTCTAAGGTAATTATAAATTTAATTTTAATTTTTGATACTGATCAAGATTATTAGACGATCATTTTATAGTAATGGGAGACGTAGAGTTATATCATCCCGTCATAACCTTGTATGTCTGTGGAGAAATTTTTTAGATATTGTACCAACAAATCCCGACTATACTATTACAACTAATTTATTGGTTCACACTTTTCGAAATATTTCAAACGGTTTGGATTTTTTAAACAATATTGTTGGAAACACATTTGGAAACATGGACCAGTATTACTATTTCTCAAATTTCATACAAGCAACTACTCAAATAAATTTAATATCGCGTAATTCAGGAATCATAAACCTATTGATAAACACTGATACTACAACTGGAATTGACCCATTGTTGTTAATTATTAAAAATAACGGTTTTATTTTTAATTTATGATTATAATTGAAATGCTTTAAATTAATTTAAGTATCTTATCTCTCAGTTGTTTATGTTTTTGATCCAATACAAAGAGCAAGACGTAGACGCTATTTACCTTACACATTACAGAGACTTATACGAGTATGTACTAATGTATTAACTATTAGGCGTCTTTACTTTTCTCAATTGGAAGACATTGAAGTTTTTCAATCCTGTTTGTTATTCATTGGGTATTTGTTAGATGGCTACGACATAACTAATTTTCATTATTATCAATTTAATTTGCGTGTAACTTTTTGAATAAAATTTATTTTAAAATTATTTATTTAATTAAATATTTTTTAACAAGATATTTTGTATTATCAAGTAAGTTGTGTTTAAAAATAATTAACGTTTTATAATATTTGATACGTTGATTATTTTTATCTCAAATAATTATTTGAGTCTTAAATAATCAATTATTAAACTTAAATTATTATTAAATTATTTTTTATTATTTATTAGACAATCTTTTCGGTTTCCCAGATATTGGTGATTAGAATTTTTTCTGACTTCACAAATAAATTGTGTGATGGCGAGTGTCATATCAGTAGACAGCATGAGTCTATTATATTCTATTCGACTTACGTCTGCTAATAAGTATTTATTTGATGGTGGTATGACTACCACACTGCGAAGTTTAGTTTTTTGATTCACCGCCGGTAGTTTACTTTTTCCAAAGTCAGGTATATTATATGGTCTACACTTTGGTAAAGTATATCTTATTCTTAATCTTTTAAACCGAGTCTGTGAATCCCGAGACATGTAGTGTACTTGTAGGAAACTTGTCAAAGGTGTTTTAAAAAATTGATAATTTAAATAGTAGTTTTCGCTGTATTTATGTCGTACATTGTTATGCCGATATCCTTTAAAGATTTTTCGTTTCCTACGCTGTAACAAGTTTATTGACTTCATGTTTATTAACTCATGTAAATAAACTTGCAATTATAAAAATTTAATTCATAATCAATAATATATTTATATAGTTTGGCTACGTCTAAAGCTGTTTATCTTAGACTAAGCGCCGATCAAAATAGATTCATTTAATCCCGGAAGCTGCACACCAAATGTAGGGGAAGTGGGTATATTACGGGTATCTAATCTTGTCTAACCTTACTTATGTAAACCAAACACTCGACAATACACCACTTACCTTACGGTTTTGACTCTTGTAGTGATAACCTATAGTAATACGTGGCTAAGGAACGAGCGGCTTTCCTATGTTAACTCTGAGTATTCTATTTTTCTATCTTTTAAGTAATGCTAAGAGCTACACGTACAGTATTACAGACTCGTTAAATGTTTATTAAGGGCAAGGCACCCATCTGGGATCATGGACCCATCCTGGGACAGGCACCCATCTGAGGTCTGGTACCCATCCTGGTTCTGGTACCCATCCTGGGTCTGGCACCCATCCAGGGTCTGGCACCCATCTAGGGTCTGGCACCCGTCAAGGGTTTCAGACTCGTCAAGGGTTTCAGACCCGTCAAGGGTTTCAGACCCGTCAAGGGTTACAGACCCGTCAAGGGTTTCAGACCCGTCAAGGGTTACAGACCCGTCAAGGGACACAGTCCCGTCGAGTCGCAGGCCCGTCAAGGGACACAGTCCCGTCAAGGGACACAGTCCCGTCAAGGGACACAGTCCCGTCAAGGGTTACAGGACATAAGGTTATAAATTATGGTTTACTTAATAAAGATTACTCAATAACGGTTATACTAAGGTATCCTAAGAGTCGTCCGTTTACGGATACGGAGTCCGGAGTTCTCATAATAAAAATATTTACTTACGTAATAGTTGTTTAACGTCCGCGTGGTTATGGAGTTATCAAAAGGCGTCCCTTGTGATGTCCAACGGTTGGTCCGCGTCGAGAAAGTAAACACACACAAAGTAATATGCAAATACTTTTATTGAAACACTTTAAAGTAATACACACGGTATGACTCCAAGTGAAGAACTGATTTTGGTGTCTGAAAGACACCTCTATTTATACTAAAGTGTACGTGAGAAATAATTAGGCCGTATTGAGTCAGCTTTAATCCCTATTCTAAACTGGGCGTAAACCATTCACTTTTCTGTATAATATTTCAATACATTATTTTAACAGTGAAATACTAAGTAAAAATAACATAAAACTTTGCTAAAAAGTAGGTGCTTACTATTCACTTTTCTGTATAACATTTCAATGTATTTTAAGATTGAATATTATCTGAGAAAAGTTAAAAACAAACAAAATAATTTTTGTTAATAAAATTATAAATTAAATCAAAGTTAGTAGTAATACATGTTAGTATTAAACAAACCTTGGTTTGAAAATATAATTATTTAAATAAAAATAAAACAGCCTTGTGTTAAATTCTCTTTGAATCAAAAATCTTAGCTTTGAAATGGCACTGAGTACTTATAACAATATTAATAACATTAATAATTACTAAAAAAATTAATTAATTAAATAAATAAATGTTTAAAATTTGTTTTATAAATTTTAATATATACAAATAAATAATTATAATAATAATAATTACATTTAAAATATTTATATCTAAAATATAAGTTACTTTGTATTATTTAATTAATTTTATATAAGTAATAAATAATGAGCTCAAAAAAATTTATTAACATATAATATGAAATATATTTTAAAAATAATATACATTTAAAAAAAATCAGTCTTTAGAGGATTTTATTATAAATAAATAAATTAATTAATTAAATATATTTATCATATAATTAAAATTTGTTAACATTAATATACTAGCTAAATAATTATTTAATAATATTGTATTGTATATTTTGGATATTATTAAATAATAGATAATATTTACCTAAAATTTTAATAATAATATTCTATATATATATATTAATACATTATAAATTATTTTTTATATTTATTAAAAAAATTATTTATCACTTTTTTAAATAAAAAAACAAAAATATTTATGTTTTTTTAAATATGGTATATTTAAATATAATGTAAATATATTATACAGTATATTGGAGTAAAGGTATAGTACTTTTTAAAAAAAATTATTTAAATAAAAAACAAAACATTATTATATTTGTAAAATAATAAAATATTTGAATAAAAATATCTATTATTTTTTATATAAATAAACAAAATTATTTTTTTTTTTGAAGAAATATATTGTTAAGTCTCATGAGAGTTGACTTTAAGTTTATTTTTCAGTTATAATATGTGCGTCAATATTACCGCAATGTTTGGTAAATATATAAATATATATTAATTTGTTTGTATTTAAGTTAATATAATGAGAAGTTAACTATGAGTTGCATAGAGAGAAGAGAGAGAGAGAGAGAGAGAGAGAGAGAGAGAGARAGAAAGARAGAGAGARAGAGAGAGAGAGAGAGACAGACAGAGAGATTAAATTGGTTTCAATTTATAAAATAAATACCAAAAAAATATATATATTTATATATTAAGTGGAAGGCATTGATTGAGAAAAATTGTTTACACCGTTACTAAAAATAAACTAAAATACACATAAAATAACTTTTTTTTGTAATAATAAAGTATATATACTGTACTAGTCTTATCATTTAATTTATAAAAATTATAAATTGGGTTTATTTTATAAATAATATATATTAATAGACACACACATAGAAAAAATTCGTACTTAAGTGTGTGTATGTGTGGTATATATATACTTATGTGTCGTACGTAAGTAAAAAAAATTAATAATAGATTTTAATCTTAATCTTATTATTACACTATTATTAACACCGGTATCATAGAGAGACACGATATTCACACCTACTCACACACACACACATACACACACACATACACACACATACACACACATACACACACATACACACACATACACACACATACACACACATACACACACATACACACACATACACACACATACACACACATACACACACATACACACACATACACACACATACACACACATACACACACATACACACACATACACACACATACACACACATACACACACATACACACACATACACACACATACACACACATACACACACATACACACACATACACACACATACACACACATACACACACATACACACACATACACACACATACACACACATACACACACATACACACACATACACGCACATACACACACATACACACACATACACACACATACACACACATACACACACATACACACACATACACACACCTATGTATATACACGTCATATATAAGCTTTATATGAGAAGTTGATGACTGATTTTGTTGGTCGGTCTCTCTTTGTCTCATTTGACCCGATCGACTGGCGTACGAGTCCTCGACAACTGTCCACTACCGCCGCCACCGTTGCCATTGGTGTCCTGAACCCGACGGGATTTTTTTAACTGTTCCCTTGACTTCCATTGGGCCAAACGTTTCTTTAATAAGTCGCCCAAATATTCATTCCAATTTGACGGTAATAGGACTACCAAAAAGCCCAACAAAATCAATATAATACCGGCCAGTTTCATATTACGAAACAATGAATGATATACTAATGAGTCGATTACTATTTTAAAGATAAAAATAATTTAATTAATTAATTAAAAAATTTAATTAAAAATTGATATTAAGTTTTTTTAGTTGTATACTATTTTATTAGTTATAATAATAATATATTCTATATAAAGTTTATATTTTTTATTGTTTAAAATTATACGCTTATTAAAATTATTATTCATTTTTTTAAAAAAATAGCTTATAATTAACAATTAAGTTACTATTATAATAACTACAACAACAACAATAACAACAACAAAAAGTTTATTTAAGTATATACTGTAATTAATTAATGCATAACTTATAATATAATTTATTTTTATACATATCTAAAAAAAATTTTAATAAGATTTTTGCTGTTATTGAAAAAATAATAATAAATACTTACGACAACAAAATGGTATCGAAAAAAATAAGCCAAACGTTAGAAATATATCGTACGTCCAAATGGTACCGAAATTACCGAAAATATTGGCCATTAGTAGCAATATTGCCGAACCGGTCAGTGTTGGCCACGGTATTTGTGACCAGACAATGGTTTCGGCACCAAACAAATACAATAGCAGTATAAAAGGCCACATAAAAAATGCATTAACCAAACCGATTAATGTAAAAAATAGCGACATTTGCGCAAAACTAGTATAGCCAATCAATCGTTTATAAAACACCTAGGTGATTAGATTTTAATTAAAATTTAAAAAATTAATTAATATAAATATATAATAATAATAATATCTATTACCTAATCTAATAATATCGATAATTATATCGACTATATTATCTTATAAATAATATATATATATATATTAATTATCTGCCAATATTTAATATACAATAAATTAATTTTTAAGTAAATTATAATAAACTTTTTAAAAAATAATTAATAATAATAATAATATAAAAATAAATAAATTTATTGGATTTATATAATTTATTTTATTTAGTAGTTGTTATTCAGGAAAACATATATACAATATACTGTATATATAATAATAAAAAATTATGATAAATGATGACAAATCAAGCAATAAAAAAAATAAAAAAAAAATATATATATATATATATATACATACAATAATAATCTATTGTATAATAATAATATATAAAAATTTAAATTTTCTAAAAAAAATAAATAAAACACAAAATTAATTTTAAATTATAATTAATAATTACTTTGAAAATAGCGGATCCAATACATGATCCATAGGCTACCAGAACCGCACCGAGAGTTCTGTAGTGTTGGACGCCATCCATGTATACTAATAGTGTCATTCCGGTGACACATATTATCACAGCCACTATCTATTACGGGACGGGTAGGTGTGGAGAGGGGTGTGGGGGTTGAAAAATATTAAAATAGATAAAACTATTTCTAGTTTAAATAACTTACTCTAATGCCTACAAACTGATGGTGAAGGACTACCCACGATAGCAGATATATGATAGACACCGAACAGGAATAGACGGCCATAACTACCGTAATGTCCAATACCCGGAGCGAATAGATTAGCATATAGTTGGATATAATCCAGATTACACTGAAAAACCCGCACCGCGTCAGAAATTGCATTAGACTGATGTCCTGATCCATAAATCCCTGTATACTTTCACTTTAAATAATAATAATATGATTGATATGAATGATAACACCGAAAAAAAATTTTAAATACAAAAAAAAACTTTAAAAATAAAATTATTATTTTAAATTCTATTTAAATTCTATTTAGTAATAAAAACATTTTTGTTGCTGTAATTTTTTACAAATATATATATATATATTATATATAGTATATGTATAATAAATATATTTTATAATAATAATAATAATAATAATAATAACAATAATAATAATAATACTACTACTAATAATAAAACTAAAAATAATAATACTACTAATAATAATACTATTACTAATAATAGTAATAATAATAGTAATAATAATAATAATAATAGTAATAATAATAATAGTAATAATAATAATAGTAATAATAATACTAATAATAATAATAATAATAATACCGTAAGAACTTACAAAAATGCCCGTTTAAATGAATCGGTTTCTTGATTATAGCTAATTATATGTATAATCGAATAGATGGGTAAAACTAATATATTCCATAGCGAACAAAACCAAGTGGCCAATAATGGACCGTCAAATACGACCACATAATCTTCTATTGTATAACGCTGTCATGGTATTTTGGTATATATTAATAATAATAATAATAATAATAATATTTTAAAGTTTATTACAGTAATAATAATATTATTCAATATATAGTATTAGTCTAAATACTGTTTAATAAATTAATTTTTAAGTAAATTATAATAAACTTTAAAAACTAATAATTAATAAAAAAAATTTAAAACAACTAATTAATAATAATAATAATAAAATAATATAAAATAAAATATAATATAATAATAATATAAAAAATAAATAAATTTATTGGATTTATATAATTTATTTTATTTAGTAGTTGTTATTCAGGAAAACATATAGGAATACAATATACTGTATATATATAATAATAAAAAATTATGATAAATGATGACAAATCAAGCAATAACAAAAATAAAAACATTTATATATATATATATACAATAATAATAATACTAATAATGCACGCAAAAAAATATAATTCTGAAAAAAACAATGTACTGTAAAAATAATAATAATAATAATATTTTATTTAGTTATAACATCTATGCTAAATATTTAATGTCAAGTTAAAAATAAGTTATTATCCTATATATCTATTTGATTATACCGATGGGCGCAAATATTACAGTCGTTTTATAAATAATAAAAAAGTAACTATGTTTTTGAATGACCCCAAGTGTTATTTACAAATCGTTTTGTTGACATTTTGATACATACATTACTAGTCATTATTTGTGTTATTAAAGATTTGTGATATATCTTAATATGGATCAGTTACACGGATTGACATCACACGACCTCCGAGTAAGATATGCCATGGAATATGAATATCGTCGTAGAACAAACGCAACGATGGCCGCCGAAAAAATTAATGAGGTATATCCTGAAGCCGTAAGTGTGAGGACTTGTCAGAAGTGGTGGAAAAGATGGTCAGAAGAAGGGGTGGATGTGGAAGACAAAGAAAGGTCAGGAAAACCGACAAAAGTAAACGACGAAGAATTGAAAGAATTAGTTGAGCAAAATCCAAAGTTTTCATGTAAAGAGATGGCAGAAATGTTGGACGTTAGTGCCTCAACTATAAGAAATCATTTGATCGCAATTGGCAAAAGATATGTGACATCAAAATGGGTACCACATAATCTCACTCCACAACAAAAAGCTAATCGCGTGAAGACATGTACAGAATTGCTTTCTCGTCAGAATTCTGATGGATTTATTAGATGGATGGTAACCGGAGATGAAAAGTTGATATACTATGTCAATGCTAATAAAAGATCTGAATGGAGAAGCAGTGGATAACGACCGGTTGGGACTCCAAGACCAGATTTTCGGCAACAAAAAGTGATGTTATCAGTTTGGTGGGATAAAGACGGAATTATTCACTGGGAATTGTTAGAGATTGGTGCCACTATATCAGCGGAAGTTTATTGTCAACAATTGACAAGACTTCGGGAAAAACTCAAAGAGAAACGCAAATCTATGGTTGGACATTGGGGTGTAAAGTTCCACCAGGACAACGCCCCATCACACACCGCAAAACTGACCAAAGATTTGCTGAAGGAGTTTGGATGGGATATCATTGATCACCCGCCATATTCACCAGATATTGCTCCCTCGGATTACTATTTGTTTAGATCGATGCAACACTTTCTTGATGGTAAAAAATTTGAAAATCGGGAAGAGGTCAAAATGGCAGTCGAAGAGTTTTTCGCCTCAAAACCAAAAGAGTGGTTCGCCAAAGGAATTGGTGATTTGCCGGACAAATGGAGAGAAGTCATAGAATTGAATGGCGATTATATAATTGATTAAATAAAATTAACTTTTTCGTAAAATGAAATCAAAATTTTGTTATAAATACGTCATTAATATTTGCGAGGACTAGTATATATATATTAACATGGGTTACTGTTTTATATGTTATACTGTATTATACTATCTTATACTATACTAAAACCAAAAAAAAACTAAAATAATATAATAATATATAATAGCTAATGAGGTAATTAATAATTTAAAACAACAAACAAAATTTAAAAAAAAAAACGATAATTATTATTAATAAATCAAATAAAATTACTTGTTTTTTTAAATAAAATTAATATGTACAATATATATATATATATATATATATATATATATAGTATAATAGTAATTGTAGAGTTAAAATTATTATTATATATTAAATACATATAAAAATTTTATTAATATTAATTAATGTTTGCTTAAGTAAATGTCAAAAAACAAAGTTATACTGATATTTGAAATTTAGCTTAAAAACTATATATACAATAAATTATTAATAAATAATGAAATTTTTTAGTAATATATGAAAAATTTATGTTAATTTTGATTTTATAAAAATTATTTTATTACTTCTACTATTACTTAAACTGAGTCAATATATATATTACAGTATATAATATATAAAAATTTTTAAATTAAATTTAATATTTATGTATTAATATATTTTTTGGTGCCCTGTAGCAAATTTTAAAAAAATAAAAAATTAGCAATAATATAATTATATAAATTAAATACAGTATATATAATAAATGTATATTTGAAATATTTTTAAAAAATACATACTATATAAAAAATTATTGATTTTTTTCACTAGTTAAAATTAAATTATATAAATATACAAGTAATTTAATTTTTTAGAAAATTTTCCAAAATTAACAAAAATAAAATTATATATATATATATTTATACCAATAAAACATTACATTAGTGACATAAATGATTATCTAAGCGCTTATAATTGTCAAAAGATTAATTGTTAATAATAATAATAATACTTAAAAAACTAAAATAAAACTAAAATAAAACTAAATAAATAATTTGCTTAAATCAATACAAACTAAATTACAGTACAAACTAATTAATGGCATTAGAGGAGAACAAACAAAAAAGTTTAGTTAATTTATTTTTGTTTTTGTTATTATTGTTTCCAAAAAAAAACTAAATTGATGTCTAATCCAGTAATTACAGTGTAATCATCTAAAAAAACTGTTATCACGTAATATATACTAAATTAGATATATATATATATATACAGTATATATATATATAATCTATTAATTAACTATCTATCTATTGGTGTAGAATTTATTTTTTTTTAAATAAATAAAAAATAGGTATATAATTATAGACATTTATATTTATATTTAAAATTAATTAATTAATAAAAAATTATTAATAATTATTATTAAAATACCTGTTGAGAAATTGTTGGCGACTCAGGTGTAGCTATAGTTTGTAGATCTGTACCGTTATTATTATTATTATTATTATTATTATTAATTTTTAAATTATTATTATTATTATTTAAAATATTATTATTAATAATTTGTATATTATCAAGGGAAATTAATACTTTTTCATTTTCAAAACTTAATTTCAATAGATATAGTGTTCCCACCCATAGTGATGATATCAATAGCATTAAGGTTATACCCCTTAATATTTTTGCCGATTTATCCGTACATTTGCCGCCATCATTGTCGGCACCACCGTCGGTATCAGATTGGTCATGAATGGCCAGCGGGTCACCTAAAAATGTGTGTGTGTGTGTGTGTGAGGAGGGTGTTAAGGGGGGGGGTGGTAATTGGATAAAAAAATATTTATTTTTTTTAAATAAAAAACCATAGTTTCAAAAAAAATACAATACATATAATTTAATACTAACGTTGTTTATAAGCGATTATAACTTATTTTTTATTTTAATTAATAATTTACTGAATAATTATTATAAATATGGATTATATACGTATATATATAGCGTATAATAATAATAATAAAATTATTATCAAATATATTAAGATATATAATAGAGTTATTATTATATTATATAAAAAAATATGTTAATCCATGAATTAGTAATACTACCAAAAAAAAAATTTGATTTTATGATATTAGGTCACGTAATATATAATTAAGCCAGCTAATAATAATAATGATGATGATAATCATTAAAAAATAATCTAGTAGAAACAATATTATAAATATTAAATATATTAATATAATAATAATTATTAATAATTATTTTTTTAATAAAATACAAATAAATATTAAAATCAAAAAATAGAAATTATTTATATATTTTTAATAAATTATACTTTTAATTGTAATTAAAAAAAAATAATTTTTGTTTTATTTAATTTTATTTACCCGACGAATGAATACCATAGATATGATGACCAGTTTGCGAATCGACTGACGGTCGACCCGATGCTGTACCCGAATAGGCAAAAACATCGCCATAGGATGACCGGCCGGCCGACGGATATCTGGCGCCGCCGCCACTCATAATCATACCGTTGCCCATATCGATACCGGCCGACGGATTAATGGCCAGATTATAATGGGAAGTATGGCCGACACCGCCGCTAATGCCGCCGCCGGTCGACTCCATGTCGTTGTCCTTCATGGCCGGCATTGTCGACGTAAACAATCGCTGTTTGGTCATGGCCAGTACACCCGATATGGACGATATTCGGGGCCGAAAATAGCTCCGTTGGCTGGGAGTGGCATCCGATTCGGTTTCATTGCCGAAACCGCGCCACATATTTGGTCACAATTTTTATATATATATTTTTTTTAATTATTTATTATTAACAAAATTATTATTATTATTATTAATTATATATTTTCATCATAAATATAATTATAAATAATAATTATTTAAAAAAAATGTTTTTCCGATAAACAAAAATTATTATTTATTTTTTTTTTTTTAAATAAATATTATTTAAATTTTATATAATTATTTTATTAATAAAAATTTATTATTATTATTATTGGTTATATTATTAATTAATTAATTAATATATATATATATACTTATTGGTATATTTATTAATTATAAATAGTAATATATAATTTTTTATTCAATGAAAATATAATATAAAAAAATTATTATTAGTATTAATATTGTTGTTGTTTATAAATAAAGTAACTTTTCTTTTGATTTAAACATTACATTAAATTTTTATGATAGAAAATATTTGTAATTTTTATTTCGTATAAAATAAATATTTATAATAATAAGTAATAAGTAATACAAATATATTTGGAGAGATTTTCACTGTGTGTTTGTATGTGTTATCCTAAATAGTTCACAGAATATAATGATAATAATGACCACAAAAAAATATATACAGAATTTTTATACACAAAATGTTATTTTTTATGATACAGAATATATATATATATATATAGTTATATACAGTGTGTGTATATATATACACACACACTCATGTCATTCCTATATATAAAAATACATTGTTATGTGTTAACCCATTATACACACATACACATACACATACACATACACATACACATACACATACACATACACATACACATACACATACACATACACATACACATACACATACACATACACATACACATACACATACACATACACATACACATACACATACACATACACATACACATACATACACATACATACACATACATACACACACACAYACACACACACACACACACACACACACACACATGACAGTACTACTGCAGAGAGCACCTACACATAAAAATAGGGTATATAAGCTTGGGTTGTCATGGTGAATGGGTTGACACTGGTTTATAAAGTATTGCTACAGTACTACTACTACTACTACCAGTGCCCATATATACTAATACAGTAATAATAATAATAATAATAACGTGACATGCTTACATAAAAAGTTACCATATATTATATTATGTACATATAATATATGTCTATTAACCATTTAATGTTAATTTTTTTGTTTTATTTGTTTTATTTAAATAATTATCATCATTATTTATTATTTTTGCATGCAGTAACCAATGGCTACCCATTTGGGCATTTAATTACTAAATTTATATACAGTATTAAATGCTATTATAATAACACACACACACATACACACACACATGATAGTATACACAGTGTACACTGTATCTTATATATACAGTATACAAGTGTATACTACATTTATTGATGATGATGACTAGTATTTAAATGGCTATACTGTACATGTTATCAACTAATTAAACTATAGTTGACATACAGGCTGTACCTAAAAATAAATAAAAATAAAATAGTGTTTATATGCTATGCTATGCAATGCTATGTTTGTAAATATACAGTGATATCACACACAACACATCAACAAAAAAATAAAATAATTATTTATTAGTAAAATATTTATTAATATTATTATTATTAAGTTATAAATAGTTTATTATTAATAGTTATATTATTGTTAAAAACAAAATGATTATTATTACTAATTAATTAATTAGTTAATTAACTAATTATTTAATCAATTAGTTATTATATATCTGTTATATCTTCCGCAATGTTAACCATTATATTATACCGGATATGAAAATTGCGGTCAATATTACCGATTGATTGATTGATATCCGCGGCCATCAATTGTGCGGCGGTTGACGACCATTCAGATGCAGTCGTCGTCCTCTTCGTCATCAATATCTTCGCCACTGTTACCGCAGCCGCAGTCGCCGCCGATTGTCCGATCGCTGACCGATGCCATGAGTGCACTGTCTTTGCGGCACAAAATTGTTTTAACAATATTGGTCTCACTGTCCGTCTATACGATCGTTACATCGCAGACCATATCGGCGCTGATCGGCTACAGGCATACACTGTTGGCCGCACTGAGACAATCATCGTCGGACAATGGCGGTGGTGGCCAACTGTGGCCCAATCGTGGCCGACGTACTGTTGACAGTAGTGGCCAATTGCTGTACTATCATTTGGCCAACGCTACTGTCGACCATATGATGTACTACTATGACATCGATGGCGATAGTGGCGGTAATGGTGGCCATAATCGTGTTGTGTGCCATAAACTGGGAACCGATTGGAACCGTACGCTTGGAAACACCCGCAACAACAGTTGCCAATGTATGGACCACTACTATACTGGCCTGGATTGTGGTCTACCGCTTGCAATCGCCGACCGACTGCCAGCGGAGGACAGCAGTCGTCTGCAAAAGCGATTGCGTCGGGTGTCGAAAGCCAGACGTGTTATACTATCGTTAATCTTATATACAATGGTTGGCAACAACAACATCGACAGCGACAACAATACCAATAATTCAAGAACTCGACAACAATTGGTTAATCAGATGAACCAAACCATTTACAAACTAATGGATTTAACTGATCTATTGGTGATAACAGAGATCCAATTGACTAGTAGTAGTAGTAGTAGTAGTAGTGGTGATCGCAATAGAAAATGTTTGAAAATCAATAACACAATCGACAACAACAACAACTGTGGTAACAACAGTGATGTCAACAACGATCTACTGATGCAAATGGTGACCAACAAACTGAACAAATACTCTGATATTGTAATCTATAACCGATTGAACATTACATCGAAACAATGGTCAGCAATCGGTCCTCAGGGACTATATCTCTATACAATGTCGAAAGTATGGCAAACATGTTTGCATCGGGTAACCGATTACCGACCGGACGATCTATTAGTATTCATGTCCGCTAATGCATTCCCCCAGAGATCTGTACTAATGTTTTTCAAACACTATACGGGTTATCCCGAACCTATTAAACTACTACTTACTGGCCATTATCCACTGCAACAGTACAAACACAACAACATTGGCGACAAGTTGGCCAAACGATTGACCGAACCCGCGATTGTCAACCATTGTAAACTGGTCAACACTATCGTAACATTTGAATATCTGACACTATTATGCAGATACGACTTTCAATTATTTAAGACAAATCAGTGTCTAAATAGTAGTAATAAGAAATTTTTGCATAAATTCAATCAAACCTATTGGCCAGTTAGGTATTGGTCATTGAGTGCCAATAGTAATAATAATAATAATAGTAATTCAAGCAATTTCTTAACCATTTTGTGATGTTTTTTGTTGTTGTTGTTAATAATTTTATAATAATTATTATTATTAGTTTATGTTGTCATAACTATGCGCCAAATTATTGAATGATTTTATAGTTTTTTTTTAAAAAATTAGTTTAACTAAAAAAAAAAGTTTAAGACAGTATACAAATATATATATATATATGAATATATAAATACATTGTTTAAGATTTGTTTGTTACCCATAAGTGTTTTGTTGTTGTTGTTTTTTTTAAATTAATTTTAAAATCTCTAAAATTAATGTTTAATATATAATATATGATAGTATTGTTTATGTTAGTTAGTTAAGGATGTGTTTTAAGGATATTTGAAAAAAAAATTTACTGATTTGTTTGTTTGTAAAAAAAAACTGGCTGCAATAATACAGTATGTGTGATAAATAAATATATAATTTAGGGTATATACTGTACTATATATATTATATCAGTATTTTTTATGAATTTTAATTATTAAAAAAAAAATATTTAATAATATTTTATTATTAACAAAAATATTTTTTTCAGATTAAGTATCGAATTTTTGAATTAAAAACTATTGTTTTTGTTTAAAAATTATTAATTTACATGACATTATCAGTAATTATACTTTTTTTTAAAAAAAATAAAATAATTAAATACTGTATTAATTTATAAGTTATATAAATAATTGTATTTTTTAAAAATAATTTATAACTAAATACTGTACTGTTAATTATTATATTACAAAATTTTAACGCATAACATGAAAGGTTTATTATTATTATTATTATAAAATATGTATTATTTATTGTATAAATAATATAATTGTTTTTAATAATAATAATATTGTTATTACCATTTATGTAATCTCATTACATTTTTATTATTATCATAATAAGTATTATTATTATAATAAGTATTATTAAATTGATTTACAAAAAAAATTGTATTATAATTACCTGTAATTTATACTTACTATTACTACTAAAAAAAAATTGTTGAAAACTAGTCAATTTGATGCCAGTTTATAATATATATTAATTGATGTATTATAAAATGAGAAAATAAATTTATAATAAATTTTTTTTAATTATATATATATATTTTTTGCAATTAAATTAATAATTAAATAAATAAATAAATAGTAAATAATAATAATAATAATAATAAATACACAATACACACATTGTATTTAAGAAATTTTTTGTTAACAACAAATATTAATAATATTAATAATAATAATAATAATTTTATTATTATTATTTAGTTTAACTAACTAACTAACTTACAGTATAATACAATTTATTATTATTTTATTTTATTATTAATCGGTTTCATTGTTTTTATATAATAATAATAATAATAATTGTTTTAATAATTTAATTAAGAAAAAAAAATTTTAAAAATCAATAATAATTATAATAATAATATAATTTTTTTTGTTTTGTTTTTTTTTGAAATTACTATCTGTATTCAGACATACAATTACCATCGCAAACGGTATACAATTTTTGTTTTGTTTTTTTTGTTGAATTATATAATCATAGATAATATATATATATATATATAATACTTATATATATATATATATTTATGTGTTAATCAATTTTTAAGTAAAAATGTGTCTAGAATTTACAATTGAATGTATAATAAAAATTTTACAATTATTTATTTATTAATTATTTTTTTTTGTTGAAAATTTTCTCAAAAAAAATTCTTAATAAATAATTTGTTTTTTTTCTTATAATTTTAATAATAATAATAATAATAATAATAATAATTAAAAGATTTATTTATATATCATATAATAATAATAATAAGTTAAGTTTCAGAGAAGTATTTTTTTCAAAAAAGTTTGTTTGTTTTGTTTTCATTATATACTGTATATAATATATGTTTGATTTATATATCGATATTTTATTGATGAAAATTGTTTTGTTTTGTTTGTTTAAATTGTTTGTATATTTATAAGTGAATATTATTATCAATATTTATAATAATATAATAACATAAAACACTAAATAAATTAATATAATAATATTATTCAATACTGTATACATATTTAATATAATATAATAATAATTTATCATATACTGTATATATATTATATATTATTATTATTATTATTAATTTTTTACATATTTTTTTGTTAGTTATAAATAAATTATTTCACAGTTATATATATAGATAATATTATATATATATATTTATATACTGTATATTGTTTTGAGTCTTTTCAATCAAAAAAAAATTTGTTTGTTTTTAATTTATTTCATATATATTTATATTTATATATATATATTATAATATTTAACTGATTATGAAAGGACTAGTATCTCAAATACAGGGGCTCTTTGCAAATGAAACACTAATCAATTCATTTAACATTTTAATTATTAATTAATTATTAATTAATTAGTTATGTTTTTTAAATAAATAAATACAGTTATTTAGTTTTTGACGCTACGCTTAATATATATATGTATATATATTTTGCTTCAATATATATATATATATATATATATTTAAATACTGTTTGTTATATAATTTGTTTGTTGTTTTATATTACAAATTTGTTTTCATCAAATTAATTAATTAAATATAATGATAAATGATTGATATTTTTTTAAAAAGCGTTTTTTAAAACTTTTCACTTTTTAGCGTCAAATTATTAGTATTATTATTAAATTATATATTTATATATAGTATTTTCAATCAATCAATCAATTTTTATCATCAATCAAGTATATACTGTATATATATATGATCGGTAAACTGTTTTACATTTAAGCATAGATTTTTAAAAAATAATTAAAATAATAATAATAATATAATTTTTTGTTGTTGTTTATAAACTCAAATAAATTTTATGCAAAATTTAATATACCTTTATAATGTGTATATACTGTATATATATACCTATATAAAGTCAATCATAATGATATATTTTTTTGTTTAATATCTTTATGAATATATATATATTTATATATAAATTTAAGTTATTTTAAATTTTGTTTGTGAATAATTGTAACAATTTCACAATTAATTATTATTTTTATACATATAATAATAATTAGTATATAATTTGTTTTGTTTTTGAATTTAACATATGAACTGAAAATATTCAGTCAAAATAAATAAATAAATAAATATATAATAAAATTAAATTATTTTTTTATATATGTATGTGTAGTGTGAGTGTAGAAAACGTTTTTCAAATTCAACAAAATCAATGACTTTACACTTTACTTATGTTTATATATATATATATGTATATAAATTTACATATATTAATGTAATGTTTAAATTAAATTATAACACTTAATAATAATAATATTTAAATAATTGGCATTTTATGTTTAATATATATATTAAACCATAATAATAATTTTTTTTAACAATAATACAATATAAATGTTAATTAGGTAATTAATAATTTTTTTATGTTTTTAATTTTGGCAAACATTAGATATATTTTCTTTTTATATCATATATTCAATATATTTAATTAAAAATCTCAATAATAATAATAATAATAAATAACATCTAATATTTAAAAAAAAAATTGCCATCACTTTCATCTATAATTATTTTTAGTTTGTTTTAGACACTTATTTTATATTTTATTTTTAATTAATTATCAGTCTATGATATACATGTATAAAATATCTCAAGTGTCTTATATATATTATATATAAAAATTGTTAATTGTTAACAATTTTTTTTGGTTGTTTTTAATTTTTTAATTATAATTTTTTTTTTAAAGTAATGATATCTTTTTCTTTCTAATAAATATTTTTAATATTTTATATAACAAATAATAATAATAATAATAATAATTAAGAGTAAAATTTTTTAGTTTGGAAATATGTTTTGACAATCAATGGGACGACTCTTTTGTTTTTAGAAAGAAAACAAATTATAATAATAATAATATCATATATTTTTATATATATTATATATAAAAAAAAACAATAACTATTTGGTAGTAAAAAGATAGTTATGTTTTTTCTCATCTCTAATATAATAATAACATAACATAACAATTAGTAATAAATACTAATACACTAAATAATTAGTATTATTACACAACAAATAAATAATTAAAAATATTAATCTAATAATAAATTAGTTGTTTTTTTTGTTTAAATAAATTTTTAAATTTAAATTTTTTTCATTCGTCAGACTTTTCAGTTATAGATGTCTTATCTGTTTGTATTATCTCTGACTTTGATTTTTCCGATGATGTCAGCGATGGCTCAGTGTTTCGTCTTTTCATTTTAGACTTCCTGAGCATTGTTGCCTAAAAAATGACAATTAATTAAAAATTAATTAATTAAAATTAGTTAATAATTTTAGTTTTTTAAAAAAAAATTAATTTAATTTAATTTAACTAAAAAACCCATACTTTAAGTGCTGATTTCAAAATGACAACTTCGCCGGGAGTCTGGATCCATGGCTCGCCGTCCACTTGCACCGGCATATCGGTGTTCAATCTGATTCTGATCTGTTATTTTTTTAATTATTTTTTTTACAAAAAAAACAATACCAAACATATACAGTATCAACAATTTATATAATATTATTTTTAAAAATATAAGTATATATTTTTTTGTATTTAATATTTTTAAATAAATTTAAACACTTTTAAAAAAAGTTTATATATTTAGTATAGAATACATGATTTAATTAAATAAAATTTTTCTAATAATAACAATTTTTAATTAAATTTAGTTATATTTAGTTAATTAATTTTTAAAAATAATTTAAGTTTTAATTTAAATTTATTGTAAAACTAACAAACAGTAATATATATATATTAATAATTATTTCTCAATTTGTATACAAGAGATAATGTTTTTGATACACTTATTATATTTAAATTTATAATTAAAAAATTAATTTATATTAAAATTATATTTAACTTAATTTAAATAACAAATAATAAGTACTAAATAATTTAACAAACAAAAAAAAAGACTATGGTAATTTTATTAATACTAAAAATATTATATATATTGAATATATATATTGATAAAATTATTAAATGATATATTAATAATTGATAAAATTATTAAATGATATATTAATAATAATAATACTGTATTATCTCTCAATTAGTAAAACAATAGTATTTTAATTAAAACATAAAACAAAAATATTATTATTAAAAATATAAATAAATAACTAAATAAATAAAATTTAAGAAAAAAAAACTATACTTACATGACCTCCCTGTGCAATCCGGATGGCCGTCCTGATGCCGCTTTGTATTTGGCCCATATGGACAACACCATTGACGCCGACCACTTCGAGCATACCGTCGTAATGGTTGGGCCGTGAAAATTGGTCGTCCTTTTCGACGCCCCACGGATTGGCACCGGAACCCCAACTGTTCATTGATTGATTGATTGGTTGGTTATATAATTAATTATATAATTAATTAAATTATAACAACCAAATCAATTCAAATACCTTAATATATTTAATATAATAATGCCCTCAACAGGCGGTAACTGAACATATTTGCCGTCGACTTCCAATCGGATCTCTTTATGCAAGTCTTTCCACATCTTCCGGCTGACCATCTTCTTCAGCGCCGTCTTAACGTAAACGCCTTTGTTATGCAATCTATGGGTTTTTTGTTTTGTTTTTGGTTGGTTGAAGAAGTAATAAAAAACAAACAAAACTAATTAGCAAAACAAACAAACAGATGACTTGAAGAGACACGACTGTCCCCCATCCGACCGTCCGTCGCATACATACCTGCTATTAAACTTATCGGGATTTTCTTCGCGCGCATTATGAAAGCTAAGGCATAGATCGGCATCTATTCCCAGTCCGAAGTAGTTGTTCATAACAAAGATGGCCGTATTGTCTTCGGATGTCGAACCGGAACTGTTGGCCGGCAAACCTGGCTTCTCTTCTGTCTGTTTAGTTGCTTCGTCCGAATGAAACACGACTGTCCACCGGTCGAGTATAATTTCGTCGGCGTCGATGATATCTTTGAGCACTGTTATCGGATCCTCTTGGCCAGTATAGCCGGGTCCCCAACGTAGTACCCGGGCCAGATCGTTGCCGGTGCCCAATGGAACAATGGCACAGGGAGGCGACTGGCACTCCGAGTCCTGGCCAACATTGTCCAGACATTGTAGGACCTGTGTTAATGTGTGGGTGTGGGTGTGGGTGTGACGTTGTTTGAATTAATACATTTATATATATATAGATAGATATTTTTGTTTAGAGTGGGACGTGTGTTTGGGGGGGGGTATGGGTAAGGTATGTACAATATGTATTTATGATACACTTACCCAACCAACTGTTCCGTCTCCGCCACAAACAAGTATTTTATAGTCTTTTATATGTCGACAAACATATAAACTAAATAATTTATGATAAGAAAAATTATTAATAAAAATTTTTTTATTAAATAATAATAATAATAATACCCTGGAAGTGGTCCACCATTTTCTAGGTCATAGACCTGATAAGGATTCAATAGTTTACGGAATGATGAGATAAGTTCGAGACCCTGACAGCCACCACTTTTGACGTTTACAAACACTAATAATGGCTATTAAAGTGAGAGAGAGAGAGAGAGAGAGAGAGAGAGAGAGAGAGAGAGAGAGAGAGAGAGAGAGAGAGAGTTAATATAAAAAAACGTTATTTTATCCAAAAAAAATCAAATAAATAAATTATCTAACAATTTATCCCTACATATAATATACAGTTATATGGAAGGGGGGAAAGGGATGATAATGGATAGTGGTATTGGCAATAATCTACTATTTATTAATAGACTATAACTCGAATTAGGCAATAGATTATTTTTTGATTAGGGTTTATGATTATATCAATATATTGTATATATAAAATTTATATATCTATTAAAATTATTGACATCTAATATATGAATACAATAGTATAGAGAGTGGAGGGGGAGAGGGAAGTAATGTATGCTGTGTTGTTAGATATGGGCAGACAGGTGTATTAGGGGACAGGTATAGGTACAGAAATCAGGGACAGGTATAGGGAAAGGGATAGCGACAGTTATAGGGACAACCTGTCCAACAGGTATAGATACAGGGATAGGAACACATGGATAGGGATACAGGGATAGGGACACATGGATAGGGACACAGGGATAGGGACACAGGGATAGGGACACAGGGATAGGGACACAGGGATAGGGACACAGAGATAATGGACAGTAGACATACCCTAACGCCTGGAGGAATCATATGAGCCATAATATTTGGCAACAGAAGAACCAGGAGATTCTTGTCGTCATAACTCGACTCCCGGAGCATATAATAGGCTTTGACGGCAATGTCTGCATTATCGTAGGTCACTATCAGCGACCCGTATTCATAATATATTGGACCGATTTGCCGATATTTGTACGCTATTTAAATTGTCAAACAAACAACAAATTGTAAAACAAATCAATAAATAATTATTAATAACTATATATATATATATATATATATATATATATATATATACAGTAATAATAATAGTAATATTTTTCAAATATGATAATATTATATTATATTAATAATAAAAATAATTATTATTTATTTTCGTATAATTTCTATTATTCTCTAAATATATATATAAGTTGCTGTAGTTATTGAATTATTATTATTATTATTATTATTATGATTACATGAATTGGCTATTAATTATTAATATATCAAAACACAATTATTATTAGTGTACTGTATATATACAGTATATACTAATATTTTTGCTAAACTTTAACATATAAATAAATATATATTTAAATAAATAAATAAAAATAATCTTATTAATTGATATCTATGTAATAGATTATATATATATATATATATATTATAATAATAATAAGATTATTTAATAATTTATTTATTAAGCTAGTATTACTAACCTATATAAAAGAGAAAGTTTAAAAAAACTAAATAAATAAAAACCCTAACTTCACTCATTAATATTATATTATTAATATAATTTATATATATATAAATATAGTAAACATTTTAGTAACTAAAATTTATATAAATAATATTATTGTACTAATAATATAATACACAAAATTATTTGTCTATTATTATTATTAGTATTATAAATCTATTGGATATTATTATAAACTTTATATATAAATATAAATTGAAAAAAAATTATAATTATTATTACTACTACTACTAATAATAATTAGAAAAATTAGCATGCATAAATTTATATATATATATACAGTATATTTAGTATATATATATATATATATATATATATAATATAATATATATAAATAAATAAAATATAATTACGTTTTCCTAATAAATCGACTAAAATTCTTTCATATTGTCGTTGAGAAAGATTCGTGGGTAAATTTCCTACAAAAATGGCTACATTAGAGCAGTAAACTTCATCGACTTGTTGCAAATAGAAGCGGGTATTTTCTTTTTGTCGAATTGATTCCTATGGGAGGTGTGGGGTGGGGTTAGGGGTAACAAAATTTATTTTTGTTTGAAAAAAATAAAAATAATTAATTAGAAATATATATATAAATATTTTCAATACAATATTATTTAATTTGTTGTTATTGACTCATTGTATATAATATCATAAATTATTTGTGATTGATTTGGTATAATTAATAAATATATAATTTATTTGGTGCTAAATATAAAGTATATGATTTTTTTTTAAATAAAGGTTATTATGTATGTGTATGTGTGTGTATGTGTGTGTGTGTGTGTGTATGTGTGTGTATGTGTGTGTATGTTTGTGTATGTGTGTGTATGTGTGTGTGTGTGTGTGTGTGTGTGTGTGTGTGTGTGTGTATGTGTGTGTATGTGTGTGTATGTTTGTGTATGTGTGTGTATGTGTGTGTATGTGTGTGTGTGTGTGTGTGTATGTGTGTATGTGTGTATATGTGTATGTATGTGTATGTATGTGTGTGAGTGCGTAAGTGAGTGAGTGTGTGTGTGTGTGTGTGTGTGTGTGTGTGTGTGTGTGTGTGTGTGTGTTTGACACCTACCCGTGCTAATCCTTTGATGATAGCCCAGGGACTCTCATTATTATCCATTGTCCTCTCGTGAACCGCTAAAAGTTTTTTTTTAAAAAAATAAATAAATAAAATATTAATTATTTATACATTTAATATTTAAAAAAAAAAGTTTTTCTATCTAATAACTAGTAATAGTAAATATTTTTAAAAATTATATTAATATAAAAATCTAATAAAAAAAATAAATTAGACAATAATTGTTTTTTTTTTCTTAAATAAATATTTTTTGAATGTTATCCTTTATATCTATAAGTATCCAAAAAAAATAAAAACAAATAATTTCTACATAAATACCCAATTGGTGTTAATATAAACTATAAATATGATTATTATGATTTTTATAAAATAAATAATTATTAGTGAAATTTAAAGTTTAAAGTTTTGAACAAATTAGAAATAAAAGACACATCATCAATTTTTATTTACATAATTAAATTAAAAATTAATGCTAGAATTAACATAATTTTTATTACTCTCTCTCTCTCTCTCTCTTTCTCTCTCATCACAAAAATTATTACCTATAAAATAATAATAATAATAATAAAATATAATCAATAATTACAATTTAGTAATCATGTAAGTCATGTAAGTCACTAAATAAATATATAATAAATTTGAGATTTATTTTTTTAAGGATTCACAGCATTTATTATTAGATATATTATATACTAAAGTACTGTAAATATATATATATATATCTCAAACATTAATCTCAACCTAACTTTCCCATCTATCTAACTAACCTTTCACACACACACACACACACACACACACACACACACACACACACACACAACACACACACACACACACACACACACACACACACACAAACACATAGTTTAAAAAATAAATAAAAATTATTAATAATTGACAATAATATATAAACATGTTTATCACCTTTTCAATAGTTTTTTAAAATAAATAAATAAAATAAAATTGTTAATAAACTATATTATTGAATATATATATATTGACGCACTGGTAGGTGACATATAACTGCATATACTGTATGATATATATATATATATATATATATATACACCTAAAAAAGCCTTATAACTGTTTTAGCACCTGTATTAAAAGAAAAAGTAGACAGCCCCCACCCCACTCCCACATATATATAATTGAAAAATAATTTTATATATATCTATAGTACACACAATATATATATATATATTGTGTACTATCGATATATATATAAAATTATTTTTCAATAAATATAATCTCTCTAAATAATACTGTAAATGATTTTCTTAAAAATAAAAAATAAAATTATTTTTGCATTAATTCAAATTCACTAGCATTTGATATTACAGTATAGAAAATAATACTTCAATTTAATACCAAATTTAATAATAATAATAATAATAATAATAAATATTGTTAAATACGTAAAATCACCTACGTAAAATTATTTCAATTTTTTTTAAAGTAAAACATTACCGGTAAAAGGCAGTCAATTACAGTTAAAAAAATAATTGCTAAAATAAACAAAAAATTATTATTAAAAAATAAAATAATAATTTTGTTGCCAAATATATATATATATATATATAATAATAATAATAATAATAAGTAATTTATCAATTTTAAAAAATAAATATATATATATATATATACAGGTATATAACACTCGGGGGGGGGAGTGACAAACATTTATATAGTGTATAAGTTATAAATTATATAACAATAGACACATAACAACAACAACAAAAAGTTTGTATTTTATATTTATCAATATATATATAAATTTTATAAAAAAATTTATTTATTTTTTTTGTTGATAATAAATCAATAATAATAATAATAATAATAATCTGATGATAGCTTACATCCTTTTTCCAATGAAACCTCAACCAATCGATATCTATTCAGATCACTAGAGTCTAATCCAAACTGATCCAATGCGGCAATCATTACCTCCTCGACACTGGTATCTATTGTCACAGTTACCAATCGATAGGTATCGGTGACACTGGATATATATATATATGATATGATTAGATAGTCAACAACAAAAAAATCAATCAATCAATTGTTTGAATCTTATTGTTTGTTTGTATAATTTTAAAAAAAAAACTTACTTTAACTTTCCCGGATATACCCGAATGGTGCCCTCGTCGGGATTGGGAGGCCGGTACCTAAAGAATAGGCCGCACCGTTTGCCTTCCACTCTAATGAGACTCTGGACGGGCATAAATTCAGAGAGCTCTTTCTCATTGGCATCTAATTAGGTGGTAGTGGGTGGTGATGGTGATGGTGGTGGTGGTGGTGGTGGGGATGGGGAATGGGATGTAAGTTTGGGTAGTAGTAGTAATAATAATAATAATAACAATTAATATCATAAGTTTATTATAACATCTAATTACTAAATATAAGTATACTATTTAGTAAATCCTATTATATATATATAATTATTTAATATATGTATATAATTTTCGACATTAATTTTTTGTTTTGAATTAAAAATTTTTGAACATTATTTTATTATTATTATTATTGTAATAATAATAATAATTAAAAAAAATAATGTCGAAACCAACCAGCAACAATAATAATAATAGTATATATTTATAATATCGAAATAATGTCGAAAATTATTGTTTATGTTTTTTTAAAAAAATAAATATTTGGTTATAAGTAATTGAGAAAAAACAACAATAGATTATTTTGTTGGAGGATATATAGTTAGGGTGTGATATATCGGGCACAGGTATGTTATAATTAACTAACTAACTAACTAACCATAAGCTTCGGTAATAATATAATGGCGGGGATCGTCGTGTATATGGAATGCTCGAAGACAGGCGGCAATTATCTGGTCTTTTGTGGCGCTTCTGGATATAGTGATTGTCCTAAAAGTTTTCCGTTTCATCGATCCGTTTCCGTCGTAGACTTTGATTGTTTCTTCATCCTTGTCCTTGTCCTTTGGCGACGGATAATCGTCGGCCTCTTTGTTCCTCTGGTCCGAACCGGACGAGTATTCTTCGGATGCGCTCCGAGCTGTTGATGCCGATGATGACGATGACACCATCAAAACAAACAAACAGTTTATATTAATATATATATATATATAAATGTTTTTTTAATCAAAAAATAAAATTTGTTGTTTAGGATAATAAATATTATTAAATAAATCAATTGTTATATATATTTGTTATACTATTATATTCAATATATATGAATATACTGTCTATGAATCTAATGAGATATTTATTTATTTATTCTTGTTTGTTGTTTCAAAAAAAAAATATATGAAAAAAATAGTAAAATTTATTTTTTAAATAATTTATATAACTCTCTCTCTCTCTCTTTTACTCACTCACTCACTCACTCACTCGCTCACTCTAAAAAATTTTTTTTTACTAAATTAGTATCTATTGATATGTAATAATTAATAGTTAGGATAGATAGATGAAAGTATGTGTGTGTATGAAAGGGATTGGTAGCTCCCATAAACCGAAACACCAATACATACATGAATTGGTATCCCTTTTCCTATTGGTGACCCCAATAATGGTCTCTAAAGGAACATCAGTTCGGGGAATGCTTACGCAAAACGGCGGTAACATTATTGACTGCAACCAACCAAAGTTGCATTCAGTCGTTAGATTTCTGTAGCAAATGGCGTGCGCCTGAAGATTATAAGACAGATGAATGTCTGGATCAGTTATCACTGATGATGATGATGATGATGGGGGGAAAGGGATGGATGAATAGGTTGGGGCGCGGGGGGGGTATACCGTACCGTTGAGCCGCACCATTCGCATCGCATGCCGGCCAGACACTCGGTCGACCAGCAAGTTTTCTTACAGTAATGACACTTAGAGTTGGCCGGAAGGTTGCCTTCCCTCCAATGATGTCTTTGCACTACTTGTACCTTAAATTTACAAAAAAAATAAACAAACCAAATATGTGTTAGTAGTAGTAGTAGTAGTGTGGGATGTCGGGTGTTAGGTACTTACCAGATCCTGGTCGGGAACATATGTGGCACATTCCTTACAGTCGGCTACCGAAAAGTCATGGCAGTCCAGATGAACACAGTATTCGCATATCTCGCACCTGACCGCCGACTGGTCTTCAATACGTTTGCGGCACAGATTGCAAAACTTTCGCTTCAAATGACCGCAATCTGACCAACAATGAGGTACCGGATTCTGTGTGTGTGTGTGTGAGAGAGAGAGAGAGAGAGAGAGAGAGAGAGAGGAATGGGATGGTTGGATGTGTGGGCAGTATAGGTGCCAATTGAAGATTAGATAATAGGTTTAAAAATAAATAAATAATTAGTTAATTATATGAATATATATATCATATATGGATTTTAAAATGATTGACATTTTTAAATAATTAATTTATTGGTGGGTGGGTGTGTGTGTGTGTGTGGGTGGGTGTTAAACATATTGATTTTGTTTGTTTTTTTTACAATAAAAATTAATTAATTAATTAATTAACTAAACTATAAACTAACCTTGATGACATTGGAGGCAACTGTTGAACAGGGTGATACTACTGTTTTGATACATCTATCGTGGACCACGAAATTGCAAACTATATAAATTTTTTTGGGGGGTGGGGTGGGGGTGGAAAAAATTATTTAATTTAATTTAAAAATTTAATTAATAATAATAATAATTAGTATTTTTAAAAATAAATATATATATATATATACAAAATGTAGTATTCAATTGTTAAATTTACAACAACTAAAATAAAATTAATGATATCATTTGTTTGATAATAATAATAATAATAATAATAATAATAATAATAATAATAATAATAATAATAATAATAATAATAATAATAATAATAATAATAATAATAATAATAATAATACTTAAAGCACTACTGTTTTGTAATGTTTGTTGTCTCCCAAAAAAATAATTAATGGTATCAATTAATTTTAATTATTTTTTCTATATATATATATATATATATACATAAAATATTTGTCAATTTAATTGTATTTTTTTAAATAAAAAAAATATATATGTTATAATATACACACATATATATATAATATTGTATAAATATTATATATAATTTTTTTCAAACTATAATATATGTAACTCTAATATAAGGAAGCAAATAAAAAAAAGTAAATAAATATATTAAATAATAATAATAATAATTTTGTTGATTATGTTATTATTTTATTATAATAGTAATAATATCTATCAATCTAATATGTTATTATTAATATTTATTAATATTATTATTACAATTATTATTACTATTATATAATCTTAGATTATAATTTATAAAATATAAGCTAGTAAAGTTATCAATAATAAATTATAGCCCAACTATACAGAATCATTTAATCAAAATTATAATATACTGTATGTTATAATAATAATAATAATAATAATAAGTTATAAATTATACTATTTTGTAAACATAGATTTACAGAATATAACAGTATATATATACAGTACTGTATATACTGTACTGTATATACTGTTTACTGAATTTATAGATATAGATATACTGTATATATATATATATAATACTTGTTTATCTCAATCTATAAAAGCATATGAAAAATTAATTTTTAACATTATATAAATATTAAAACATATATATATATATATATAATATCTATCTTAATATCTAATTTACAACACACATACACATAGATATATATATATAATATATATATATATCCACAAAAAAACAACAACAAACATAATAATATGTCATAACCATAATAATAATAATATATATATATCTATACTGTATTCATATATATATATTATATATACCTTCACAGATATATCCCTGTCCGATCAGGCCCCACAACATATCGGTGCAATGGTGACAGTATGTAGGTTTGTGGAAGGTTTTTTTAGTAAAATAATGTCCATGACCAAATTGGTCATATTCGGTAACACTACCACCACCACCACCGCCACCACCACCACCAGCACCACCACTACCTACACCACCACCACCAACAACACACTGTTCCGTAGTAGGGCTAGGATTTTCAATAGTCCTGGCCGAACCGAAATTTGGTCGACTATGGCCAACAACAGTGGCCGCTGCCGATGACGACGACGATGATGATCCCGTGGCGGTAGTAGTAGAGCCGCTGCTGGCGGCCATCATCAACAACAAGGCTATCGTCGGCTCTGTATTATTATTATTATTATTATTAATAGTAGTAGTAGTAATTGTTGTGATTGTTGTGGTTGTTGTTGTTGTTGTTGATGTCGATGCCGTTGATGTTGGTGTTGGTGTTGTTGTTGTTCCTCCACTACTTTCACAAACACACAACCATTTCCACGCATTGCCCATAAAATCTGACGCTATCACACATCCCTAACCACCACACAACCTAACCATCACCACTACTATTGCGCCCCAATATAGCCATTCCCCTAGTATTATATTATTATTATTATTATTATTATATGGCATATGAATATATGTTGACTAACTATGACTTTCAAGAATCTGTATATATATATATATATATATATATATATATATATATATATATATATATATATATATATATATATGTATATTACTTATATTTTTAATTTTATATAGATATTTAGGATGTCCCCCTCCCCTCCTAAAAATAATATTGATTAAATTTGTTTAATGTTTTTTAAATATAATATCAATAAACTGTATTTAAAAAATAATTATATTGTTACACTTGTTTACATTATTTCTATATTAAATATATACAGTACTATCAATAGATAGAATTTGAATTATTATTATATATAAAAATTATAAATATATATCTTTTTAGTTAATATGAGAAAAAAATGTTAAATTTTTTATTATTATTATTATTCATTATTATTATACAGTACTTTATATATATAATTTGATTTCAATACTACTAATAATAATAAACTATTTGTGTTCAGTCAGTCAGTCAGTCTATGTCAACCTATTGCTCAAACTATATAATACAGCACTGGTAGGTATACTGTACTGTTGTATAATATTCTAACCAAAAAGCAGTCATATTCTGGTTGTATGTATTAATACAAAGTGTATGGATATTCAAGTCATATATATATATATATATATATATATATATATATATATTCAATGCCTTTAGCATTGGGATTCACTTCGCGGATATCAATATATTATATATTTATATACAGTAAGAGAGAGAGAGAGAGAGAGAGAGAGAGAGAGAGAGAGAGAGAGAGAGAGAGAGGAGAAAGAGGTATATACTGTTGTATGTTTAGTGATATACAGTATATTTATATATAATATACTTTGTATATAACAGTTTGTTTGTATATATATATAATAAGTATATACTGTATATAACAGTATATATTTGTATACACATACATACATATTAGTAAAAAATATTTACACAAATTTTGTATTTATATATATATATATTGAAAATAAATAATTTTTTTACCAATATATATATATACAAAATATTGTTATTATTTTTTGTAGATAACATAAAAAAAATATTTTTATTGAACATACGGTACGATTTTTGTGTTGTTGTTATTTAGTAAATGTTATGCATATTTATTTTCATTTAGTTATTTTATATATAAAAATCTAATTGTTTAGTTTATTTTTTAAATATATATATATAATACTAATAATTAATATATTTTTAAAAAAAATAATTAGCTATAAATTTTGTATAAAAATTGTTACAAAAAATATGTTATTATTATTATTATGATTATTATTATTGAACAATTTATATACATGTTTATATTATATATATATATACTATATTTGATTTTAATATAACTTATATGTTTATTATTATTTTTCAAAAATCAAATTAAAACCTAGTATCTATTGTATTAAACTATATTATCAATTGTATATAGTTTTTTGTGTATAACTGTCTAGACTTTGTATTTATTACTTTTTTTTATAGAAAATTAATTTTTTGGATTTTAGATTGAATTTATATACAAATTATATTTCGGTGACATTAAAAAAAAGTAGTAATAATATTTTTAATAAAAAGTTGATTATTGAATTTAATTAAATTTTAATTAAGCTAATTTAAAAACATGATACATATACTAAATGTTGTTATAAATAGATAAAATTATTTTAATTTTTATAATATTTAGCACTGATTTTCAAATTAGATAAATATTTTCTAAATGAGTTGTAATTAATTTATTTATTTGAATTTTAAACACATTTATTAATTAATTGATTAAAAAAACTGATAATTAAAAAGTTTATATATATATATAATATGTTTGATCTCTAAATTACTAGAAAAAACTATATATATATATATTTAAACAGTTTTTAAACACCTAAAGCTAAAAAAATGTATTTAAAAAATATATACATAACTTTTAATATCAGTAATAATATTACAATTTTTTTTAGATAAATAGGTAAAACCCTTAAGTTAAATATAATCTCATCGAAAAAAAAATAAATAAACATTTTTTAACTACTAATAGCAATTTAATTGTTTTTAAATATAAATAAATAAATTTATAAAAACAAATGTTTGTTTTAAATCAAAAAAATATATATTATATACTATACAAAACAAGTATTTGTCAATTATTATTATTATTATTATTATTATTATTTTATAATAGACATTACAGTATAACCTAAATATAAATATTTATTTGTTATATTAATATTTGAAGTTCATTATAATAGAAAAAAATATTTTATTATTATTATTCATGAATTAATATACAATATTTATTACCACAGTATATATTAACATATGTAAAAAATTATTGTTTTTTATATATATATAACATTGTTGTTAATATATTCAACATTATTATTAATATCATTTATCCTGGTTTTATCATATAATCTAAAAATAATTGTATTATTATTATTATCATTAAAAATTGTAACTCAATTATTCATATATATATATATATATATATATACTATATATAAAAAATCCAATTAAAAAATTTATTTATTTTTTTATTCAATATCTATTATCAAAAAATAAAATTTAATATATACAGTACAGTAAAGTATTTATTATTAATAATTGTGTCTTAATTATTATCTATATATATATATATATATATAAATTTTGCTAAATATCTAATATATCAAAATTTATTTATTATACAATTATAAAAATTTAATATTATATATATAAAAAAAATCAAAACACTAGTTTTGATGCAATAATTTAGATATATATATATATATCTATTTATATAATATATAATAAACAATTAAACATTTCAATATTAATAAAAAATTCTATATATTAATATATGATTAAACTATTTACTACTAATATATATATTGACATTTTTCAAAAAATAAAAAACAACAATTTTATATATTGATATCAAATACAACAACAAAAATCTATTGGTATTAAAAAATATAGGATAATAACAAACAAACAAACAAATTGTATATTTAAAAAAACAATTTACTGTTGTTTTCAAACACAACAATTAAAATCCTATAAAAAAATCCTCTCAATCATTGTTGTATAGTATTCAACACCGATATGCCCTCTTTGACGACCCGTCGGTAAAGTGCTATATATTTGGCCGCATTCTTAGTCCGCGGGACTATAAAGTCTTTGCAAAACTGGGTTTTACTGTTTAACGATGGCTTCAGATCTTTGACATCAAGCATACTGTTTGGTGGTTTGGTTTTCGGTATATAATATCAAAACACAACAAAAAAATATTAAAAATCAAAATTAATTATTTTTTTATAAAATTACTACTACTACTACTACTAATAATAATAATTTCAAAATTAAGTTATTAGTTTAGTGATACAGAAAAAAAATCAATCACAACAATAGTGTAAAATTGTTTTTAATAAGTTGATATAATATATAGATATAAATATATATCAATAATATTTAAAATCAATTTATCTAACATAATAATTTAGTAATTAATTTAACTATAATTTTATCTAAACACCCCCCCCCCATTTCCTCCTACCCCATCCCAAACATATAATATTGATTTATATTGATTTAATATTATTATTATTATTATTACATATTATAATAGTCTACTACTAAACCCTTTTTCCCGTACCGTAAAAATGTTATAACAAACGAATAGCAATTGTTTTGGTGCTCTGAATACTGGTTGGGTAGCCATCGGTCCAATTGTGCGGTTATATGTATAATATAATCCCAATACTCTTTCCATAGGTTGTCCATATTGGTAACAATCGGTACACTAAGACACTGGTTCCACAACGCCGACGATGATGACACTGTCGATGTCGATGATGTCGATGAGCTTCTGGCGGCAGTCATTTGTAGGCCGTTTTTATCAAACTCGTAGACATTGCCTTTCGAGTCGGTTAGTCCTATGTGTAGGTCAGCGGCGTTTTGATAGTGACTGATATAATCAACAACAAAAAAATGTCATAAAAAATTAAACGGATGGATAAGCTTATCCATCTATACATCCCCAATACATCAATTCAAATCCACTTACTGTAAAAAGTCACCATCAGTTGGTCGGATGACAAGCGAACATTGGGTACGTTTGGCACTAGTGAACGGATAGGGTACACAAAACGGTGGTATTTTCAATTCAACACTGCTCAGGGATGCTGAACACAACGGGCAATGATCGGGTAGTTCAAGACAAAATACTTTGCACCGGGAGTTACAATGTTGAAAGCATAGAATACCCGGATCGATACCCGACATATCTCTGGGTGAGGGCGGATGACTCGGACTAATGGACAGTTAGTTTGTTTGAAACACTCCACTCACTCGCTCTATTAGCTTATGTATCCCCAAAAAAATGTATGAATGGCTTATCTATTATATTAGTGGAAAGTAGAAAAAATTAAATATAAATATATATATATATATATATATCATATACTAAATGTCATATTTAATTAATTTTGTTTCAATTCAATAGTGGAAAGTCATAACAAAACTACTAAACTAATCAAAACATTTCAAATAATAAAAAGTCAGACATATTCATACACACACACACACACACACAGTCAAGTCAAGTCAAGTCAGTTAGCATACCTGAGCTGCACAACAACAACAACATATATATATTACAAGTAAGTTAGTAGTGGTTATCTTTAGTATACTGTACTTTACACTACTGTACATATGGTAGGATAGGGTAGGTATTACTCTATTGTAAATGTAATTTTTAAAAGTAAACGCACAGGTATTATATTTAGGAGAGTTGTTAGTAGTAGTAGTATTAGTAGTCGTCACCCAACTAACCCAACTTTGGGGGGCTCTCTGTGCGACTAAGTTTACCCTAAAAAATGACACCAAACTTTTTTTTAGTTTAGTAATAATAATAATAATTTTTTGTTGTTATGTTTTTTAAATGACTGTTTTTTTCAAAAGAGAGAGAGAGAGAGAGAGAGAGAGAGAGARAGAAAGAAGAGAGAGAGAGAGAGAGAGAGAGAGAGAGAGAGAGAGAAAGAGAGAGAGAGAAATAAAAATAACTATTAAACTGTTTTTCTTACACACATTAGGCTAACCAAACTAACTATAAGATGACAAAAATATTTTATATATTTATTTATTTTTAAATAATATGTTAATTTAGTTTCATTTGTGACCTCAATATACAGGTATTATAAACTATTATATTATATTATATCTCCTCTTAATTTTTATGTGTCACACACTTGAGGGCTGACCTGTCAATTGAAATATATATAATATAATATAATGTGATTCACAGTATGATTGTTAATAACTAGTATATTAGGGATAAATATAAATAATAATAATAATCTTTTTTAAAGCTAAAATTACATTTATTTAATTGCATAATAAAACTTAATGTAAATAAATATTTATATTTAATTTGTTGTGAGACGTGTGTGTCTGTGTGTGTCTGTGTGTGTATGTGTGTGTATGTGTGTGTATGTGTGTGTATGTGTGTGTATGTGTGTGTATGTGTGTGTATGTGTGTGTATGTGTGTGTATGTGTGTGTGTGTGTGTGTATGTGTGTATGTGTGTGTATGTGTGTATGTGTCAAAAGTTTAGGGTTAGGTATCAAACAAATAAACACTGACACACACACACACACACATACACACATATATACACACATACGCACACATAGATACACACACATATACACACACACACACACCTCCTTAATAGTTATGAATAGTTATTGTTTATTATTAAATATAATATATATAATTTTAAAAATTAAACAAAAAAAAAATTATAACACCTTTTAGTCAAAAAAAAAATAATTGAGAAAATAAAAAACTAGTTTCTTTTATCATAGTTTTGACAAAATATTTCAATATAATTTTAATTGTCTTAATGCAAAAACTTTTTATTTAATTATTTAAAATATATATATATAATAGTTATTTGATTTTGTAGTTAATTTAATTATTACACTCTTTAATTGAATTTTTGTTGTTGTAATAAAATTTGTTGTAATAAATTAATTACATTTAGTAGCACTTAATATATATATATATATTTAGTAAAATTCAATAAATTAATTTACCTTGAAAAATATATTTTTCACAAAAATTGTTAATAAAATAAAGGCATAAAATAATTAACAATATCTTAATTTATAAATATATATATAAATTTATATATATATTTGAAGTATACCTATTGCTATACTATAACAAAATACTGTATATTATATAATCAAAACTTCATAACAATAACTTTATAAGTGTAGCACTTATTAAGTACATTAACTGACATTTTTTAAAGTATATGTAGTTTTCAACAAAAAATAATAATTTCATAAATTATTATAACAGTAAAGCAGATGAAAATAAGTAATAATTTTTTTATATCTCTTTATAATATATAATAAATAAATAATTATTTTATAAAATACAAAAATATATATGTACTTACAATTTACAAGATGATCATCATAAAATATATATATAACTAAAAATTTAAAATAAATATTTTTTTTAAAATTTAATACTTAATAATAATAATTAAATCCAATAAATCTATATATTTGTTGAAATAACAATATATTTACACTTTATAGATATATTCAAACAATAATAATAATATGATTATAACTTTATACACAATGCAATTACAACAACAACACAAAAAAATAGAAATTATTTATATATTTATATAATAAAAAATAAAATTATTTTAGAAAATAAAAACCAATATGTCTAGTATTTTTATTATTATTATTATTTCTATACAAATTTTTATTTTGGTTATCAATAGATATCTTAAAAAAGGGGGCAATGATTTTTATTATTATTATTTTTTTAAAAATGTTTATAATAATGATGATAATAATTTTTGATTTTAAAAATAATAATAATAATAATGATATACAGTATATATAGTCGGCAATGGTTTTGGTCAGTGGGTCACTAGATATATAGGACTTGCTCTCTCTCTCTCTCTCTCTCTCTCTCTCTCTCTCTCTCTCTGTAAAAAAAATCTGGTTCCCAATCCATTCAATATATATGGCGCTTAAAGCTATAACTTATATAACTTTATATATATATATATATACCTCATATACCTGTAATATTACTTTTTTTATACATAATTATTTAAAATTCAACAAAACTTATACCTGATTTATCTTTTAATAATAATAATAATAATATGAATAAATATAATATATTTAGTATGCTATCTATTAGTCCTCCATATATTAATATATATATATATATATATAAGCTAATCATCTCATTATACATAATATGTATTACATATATAGTGATTGTTATATCATATAAGTATATCTATAACTATTGTTTTTAAACTGCTAATAATAATCATTATTATTTATGATTTTATTTTACAAAAAAAAACAAACTATTGTGTGTATGTTTATAAATATAGGTATTATATGCTAATAATTATACTAATAATACTAAATAATTATTTGTATGTGTTTTTTGTTGTTGTATTTTAAAAGGCAAAATAAAAGATTTATTACTAATTTAATTTTATTTTTTGTTTATTTATAAATTGAATATTTATATATTTTGAATTTTGAAGTTCATTACATGTAAATAATAATAATAATAATTTTTTAAATACAAAATATATTTAAGGCTTAATTAATTTTTATTATAATATAATATTAATACAAAAATAATTACTAATGTATTATAGCTTAAATATTATTTTGATAACTGTATGACATATATATATATATATTTAATTATTCAATTTAATTATTGATGATTTTATTAATATAATATTTTTTTTTGTTTTGTAAAATCATTTATAATCAATTGATTGTAACATTAATTTATTTTTTTGATGACATTGATTTTAGTTTTGATTTTTTTTGTTTGTTGGTTATTGTATCTAATTATTTGCAAAAAAAAAATATTTAAGAGTAATTAGGAACACATAAATTTGCAAATAATAAAAAAATAAAAATATTATATATATATAATATTATAACAATACTTACAAATAATTTTTATAAAATTTTTTAAAATAATTATATCCTAATTAATAAATTTAGTTAACACTAATAATAATAACATCAATCGCATGCATTTATTAATTATATTTTGTCTAAATATCTAAATTATTAAAAAAATAATATTTTTATTTTATTTATTTAATACTTTTAATTATTTTTAAAAAATCAAAAATGTTAGGTAAAAATTAATTAATTAATTAAAAAAATATGTAATAATATTAATAAATAATAGTACTTAGAGATAAATATCTTTATTATTTTTATGATTAATTAATTTTATTAAGTATTGAAATAACATTTGCTTTTAATTAGTTATGTTATGCTATGTACTGATTAATAGGTAAATTATATAACATAATAAATTTTTTTTAATAAAAACTAAGATAATGGTACTAGGTACTATATATATATAATATATTAAAAATTATATAAAAGCAATAAACACATGTTTAAATCATTAACACATGTTTCAATTGTTAACATTGAATATAATTGTTAATTTATTCAAATAGCAATTATTTCTATATATAAAAAAAAATATTAGTGTTTTTAATTTTATGTAAACTTAATTAAAAATAAATAAAAATAAATAAGTATTTCTAATGCAATGGATTTAATAAATAATAATAATAATAATAGTAATGTTAACAATAGTAATAAAAATAATATAAATAAAGATTTTTTAAATAATAAAAATCATTTAAATATCAATGATAATAATATTGATAATAATAATAATGAAAATAATGGAAATTCAAATAAAAAAAAGTTTTTAAATTTTTTATATATATTTAGTGGCAAAGATTTATTGCTAATATTGTTGTTATGTTACGGAAATTTTTGTGTCGGAAGTGCCTATTCATTGTTAGCACCGTTTTTCCCAATTGAGGTATAATTTTATTTAAAAAAATAAAAATTTTATTATTAGTTTTTTTAAATCATATATATATATATATATATAATTAAATTAATAACAAACAAAATAATAATAATATTATATAATGTAAAAATTTATTTGTTGTTGAAAAATAACAAGTATTTTTTATAATATATAAATAGTTACCGAAAAACTAATTAGTAGATATTTATTTAAAAAATATTACTAATAATATATTGTAATTTTAATTGTATTTATATAAAAATATTTAAATCAGTATAAAAAACAAACAAAATATAAATTAATTATATTAAAAAATTTAATTGTATTCATATATTAATAAAAAAAATAAGTTTTACTAGTAGTTTAGTTTAACTCTAATTTAATTTGTTTTGTTTTCACCATAAAATATTTAACACAAATAATAATAATTATTAATTTTTTTTTGATTAAACTTTATAATAAAGTTATAGTTAACTAATAAAAAATAAATAAATAATTCTAATTAATTAAATTAATAAAAAAAATTCGCCAATTATTTTAATATTGTATTTATTAAATAGTTTAATTGTATATTTTATATATATATTGATTTTTAATTAATTGTTAATATTTAGGCTAAACTAAAGGATGCAAATGAGACATGGATTGGCATAATAATAGCCGAGTATCAAATTGCCTTATTTTTTGGTGCAGCAATTTTTGGCAAATTTGTATATAAAACATAATCATATTATTATATGATTATTTAATAAATTAATTAAATATATTTAATAAAAAAAATTTAAACTATAATTAATTATATTATTATCATTATTTTGACTCTAAATAGATACCACCGATAACACCAAAGTTTATGATAACTACCGGCCTATTGGTGGCCGGTATTTGTAGCGCTATATTTGGGTTTGTATTTTTTTAATATATAATATCCATTGACTGTCTATAATATTTATAATAATAAATATATTATTATTATTATTATAATTTGGCTTAAATAGTGTACTTCAATGGATACCATCGGGAACACCATTCATAGCCATAGCAATGGCCAGTCGTACTATTGAAGGGTTAGGTGCGGCCGCTTTTTTTGTCAGCTGTTGGACAACTATTTGTATGAAATTTCCTAAACATATATCAAAATTATTTGTATGTAATATTTTTTGTTTAATTAAAATTATAATTTTTTAAAAAAATATTATTATTATTTTTATTACTATTAAACTAAAGGCCACAACAGAGATGTGTTACGGTGTGGGTATGATATTTGGTCCGGCAATCGGTGGTCTACTTAATCAAGTAATCAAATAATATTGAAAATATTATTATTATTTTTTTAAATAACAAAAATTATTTATTTATAACTCTATATTATAATAATTAATTTGATTGATTGAATAGTTGGGTGCAGACAGTGGTATAGCTTTTTGTTTGCCATTTTTCGTTATGGGATCACTTATACTAATGGGTGCACTATTGATGATAATATTTTTTCCAAACACAAGTAATTAAATTTATTTTTATGTAAAATTTACAGTATAACAAAACAACAAAACTATTTTAATTTATATTACTATTATTTTTCATATATATATATATATAAATAGCTGATGAAAATGTATCGCTAGAGAGGACCAGTGTTTTCAGTGTTTTAAGCAATTTTAATATAACACTAAATGTCTTAATAAGTGTCAACTGTTTTCTATTGATTGGTTTCAATGAGGCAACACTTGAACTACATTTAGAAACGGTATTTGAAAATTATTTTTGTTTTAAAACACAATTTATATAACCATTGATATATCCAACAATTTAAAAACAAACAGATACAGGAGCTATCATCGGTAACTACTGGCGGCATATTTGTCATATCGGGTGCATTGTATGCACTGTTCAATCAAGTTTGGGCTTATTTTGCCGAAAAAATGCCAAACTGTCACCCGTTATGCCTAATAGGCTGTACCTCATCGTTGATAGCCTTCCTAATTGTCGGTCCGATGCCTTTCTTTCCCATTGAATCGTAAGTTAAACACAAATAAAAATATTTATGAATTTTTGTTGCAATTATTAATTAATAATTTAGATTAAAAAAAATTATACTAAAAATGCTTATAAAATTTTATTATACATTAATTTAATTATATATATTTATTATAGACAACTGTGGCTAACAATACTCGGACAGGTATTCCTAGGCCTGGGAATGGGCGGTCAGTTTGTCGGCAGTTTTATACAGGGATTACGGGAAACATTGTACGGATATTATTTAAATATAATTATTTGTTTTGTTTTTTAAAAAATTTAAATTTTATTGGTTTTTATAAATATTATTAATAACAATTTTTTTTGCTAAAAATTATTTTGTTTTTTTTTGTATTAATTTTATTAGTAAATCTGGTTTTCCCGATAATGTTTCCACATATGCAGTGGTTTCCGGTATATTTTCATCATCATTTGCAATGGGGTATTGTTATTAATATTAATTAAATATTATATTATAAATTTTAGCTAGCTAATTTTTTTAAAATTAATTTTCAATTGCAATATATATATATTTATACTATATATACGGTATGTCATTGTTATTTATCATAACTAATGTAAATATTTTATACAATAATAAATAGATCGGCAATCGGTCCGGGAATTGGCGGTTATATGTTGGGACAAATGGGCTATCGATGGGCAACCGTACCCATAGCTGGCCTACAATTGTTTATGGTTAGACAGATAGAGAGACAAACAATTTGATAATTTATTATTAATATAATTATTTGTTTGTTTTGTAGATTACATTAATCATTTCATACGATTTGTGGGCAAAATATGGGAAAAAATAAAATATAATGTTTTTCTAATATATTATTTATACATATATATATTAATATAATAATAATTATAATACGTATATTTGTTATATAATTTGTAAATATATTTTTATCAAATATAATTATAATGTTTTTTGATTTGTTCATTACTATGTTATAAAATAATAATAATTTATAATTATCTATTTTTTTTATAAATAAAATTATAATTTGACTTTAAGTTCATCAAATGTAAATATTATTTATTTTTTAAAATAAATTTTTAAGGTTTAATTAATTTCTATTAAAATATAATATCTATAATATCAATATATATTTTAATAATATTATTAAAGTAAATACAAAAAATAATTGTTTAATATTATTTGAAACTGTATGACATATATATATATTTAATACATTAAAAAATATAATTATTGATGATTTTATTAATATATACAATATTATGTTTTTTTAATAAATGTTTATATAATTATAATTTAAATTTTGTTGTTGTTGTTGTAGTAGTTGTATCATTAATTTAGATTACATTTTAGTTTTTTTTAATTGCAACTAACTATTGATAAATATTTTTTGAGAAAATAATAGCAACACATAAATAGCACCAAAAAAAATATTATACAATACATAAACATAATTTTTTTTGTATTCAAATTTCATAATTATCTTTAATAGTAATAATTTATAAATTTAGTTAACCCTAATAATAATAATAATAACATTAATCAGTATGGATGTTAATTATTTTATTTAATATATATATATAAATTTATAATTAAATTGTACTCAAAATATAAACAAAATATACACAAAAAAATATATACAAAATATTTAAAAAAAATATACACAAACATAAACAAATAGATAAAAAAGTGTTAAGGTCTAAAAATTAAATAAAAAATTAAATAAATTTTTATTGAAAATTCATTAAATAGTTTTTTTTTAATATATATATTGGTAACACTTTTATTTTATCTAAATAGTTTGTTTTTGTATATATATATATATATGTTTATTATTATTATTATTATTAAATTAATTGATTAATTAATTAACTCAAATCTATATATCAATCAATACATGACTAACTATTTAAGTTTGTTATGCTATGTACTGATTACACTATATAAAAGTCAATTACTAATAATAATAATAATAAATAAAAAGTGTTTATAACTTAATGAAAAAATAATGATAAGTAATTGGTTTGTATATAAATTTATATAAAAACAATAAACACATGTTTGAATATTATTTTAATTTTTTTTATAAATTAATAATAATTATTTCGACAAAAAAAATAATTAATACATTTTTTAAAAATTAAAAAAAGTATTAATGGTTTTTAAATTTATGTAAAATTATTTATATCATAATTCAAATTAAATGCTAACAAAAATGGATTCAATAAATATTAATAATAAAAATAAAATTAATTACAATAGTATTACAAATAGTGTTAATAATGATAATAATATTATTGTTGTTAATAATGAAAATTTTAATAATAATAATAATAATAAGTGTCCAAAAAATCATAAAAAATCATTTTTAAATTTTTTATATATATTCAATGGCAGAGACCTATCGATAATATTGTTGTTATGTTACGGAAATTTTTGTATCGGAAGTGCCTATTCATTGTTAGCACCGTTTTTCCCAATTGAGGTATAATTTTATTTAAATAAAAAAAAATTTTGATTAAATTATTTATATACTATTTATAAATCAGTAAACAATCAAAAAATTATCAAAAAAAAATATTTAAATCAGTATAAAAAACAAACAAACAAAATATAATTTAATTATATAAAAAAATTTAATTGTATTCATATATTAATAAAAAATAAGTTTTACTAGTATTTTATTTTAACTCTAATTTAATTTGTTTTGTTTTCACCATAAAATATTTAACACAAATGATAATAATTATTAATTTATTTTTTTGATTAAACTTTATAATAAAGTTATAAATAACTAATAAATAAATAAATAAATAATTTTTATTAATTAAATTAATAAAAAAAATTCTCCAATTATTATATTATTTATTATATTATAATATTGTATTTATTAAATATTTTAATTGTATTTTTTCTATATATATTGATTTTTAATTAATTGCTAATTTTTAGGCCAAACTAAAGGATGCAAATGAGACATGGATTGGCATAATAATAGCCGAGTATCAAATTGCCTTATTTTTTGGTGCAGCAATTTTTGGCAAATTTGTATGTAAAACATAATAATAATATTATTTATTAATTAATTAATTATTAATTAAATATATTAATTAATTAACTTAACTATAACTTAATATCTATTATCATTATCTGACTCTAAATAGATACCACCGCTAACACCAAAGTTTATGATAACTACCGGCCTATTAATGTCCGGTATTTGTAGCGCTTTATTTGGGTTTGTATTTTGTAATATATAATATCCATTGACTGTTTTATAATAGTAATAAATATATTATTATTATTATTATTATTAATTTACTTATAAATAGTGTACTCCAATGGATACCATCGGGAACACCATTCATAGTCATAGGTATGGCCAGTCGTACTATCGATGGGTTAGGTGCGGCCGCTTTTTTTATCAGCAGTTATACTACTATTTGTATGAAATTTCCTAAACATATATCAAAATTATTTGTATGTAGTTTTCTTTAATTATATAAAAAAAAATTATTTTTGAATTTTAATTATTATTATATTATTTTTATTACTATTAAACTAAAGGCCACAACAGAGATGTGTTACGGTGTGGGTATGATATTTGGTCCGGCAATCGGTGGTCTACTTAATCAAGTAATTAAATAAATTTTAAATAAAAAAAATATTTTTTTATATACATGTAATTATATAATTGAGTTGAATAGTTGGGTGCAAACAGTGGTATAGCATTTTGTTTGCCATTTTTCGTTATGGGATCACTTATACTAATGGGTGGACTATTGATGATAATATTATTTCCAAACACAAGTAATTATTTTATATATATAATATATTAGCAATATATTTTAATTTATATTATTATTATTTTTCATATATAAATAGCAGATGAAAAATCATCGCTAGAGAGGACCAGTGTTTTCAGTGTTTTAAGCAATTTTAATATAACACTAAATGTCTTAATAAGCGTCAACTGTTTTATACTGATTGGCTTTAATGAGGCAACACTTGAACTACATTTAGAAACGGTATTTGAAAATTGTTTTTGTTTTAAAATACAATTTTTTATAACCATTGATATATCCAAAAACAGATACAGGAGCTATCATCGGTAACTACTGGCGGCATATTTGTCATATCGGGTGCATTGTATGCACTCTTCAATCAAGTTTGGGCTCATTTTGCCGATAAAATGCCAAACTGTCACCCGTTATGTCTAATAGGCTTAACCTCATCGTTGATATCCTTTATGATTATCGGTCCGATGCCTTTCATTCCCATTGAATCGTTAGTTATACGCAAATAAAAATATTTTTTTTGATAATTATTAATTTATATATATATATAATGTAGACAACTGTGGCTTACAATACTCGCACAGGTATTCCTAGGCCTGGGAATGGGCGGTCAGTTTGTCGGCAGTTTTATACAGGGATTACGAGAAACATTGTAAACATATTATAGATATTATTAAATTTATGTTTTTTTGCTGGTTTTGTTTAATTTATATTTAAATATTTTTTTCTTACTGTTAATTATTTTTTTTGTGTTAATATCTATTTTATTAGTAAATCTGGTTTTCCCGATAATGTTTCCACATATGCAGTAATTTCCGGTATATTTTCATCATCATTTGCAATGGGGTATTGTTTATATAATTATTATTGTTATTATATTACATTAAATTAACTAGCTAATTTTAATAAAAATTAAAAAAATATATATATAGTATTTTATGTTGATTATGTAATTGTTATTATTATTAATTATTTTTTTAAAAAAAATATGTTAAATAGATCGGCAATCGGTCCGGGAATTGGCGGTTATATGATGGGACAAATGGGCTATCGATGGGCAACCGTACCCATAGTTGGCCTACAATTGTTTATGGTTAGACAGAGAGAGAGTGCAAACAATTTGATTAATTTTATTTGAAATTATTATTTTTGTAATTATTGTATTTATTATTATTTTTTATAGATTACATTAATTATATCATACGATTTGTGGGCAAAATATCTCAAAAAATAAATAATCATATTTTAACTAAAATATTATTTATATATTGATATATTATATATATATATATAAACCAATTTCCAAAACAATCCTATTGTGTTAATATCACGACAATAATAACAAACAAATTAATTCAAATGTGTCTAAAAAATATAGATATAATTAATTAGAAATTTTATGCTAAAATTTTCAAATAATTATTGTCTTATAGTTAAGAAATTATATATATAATAACTATCATTAAATTGTAAATTGGTATATATATATATATATATATATATATATATATATACTGTATAATTATGTATATTTTATTATTTAATTTGTAAATATAATTTTATATATATTTATATATTTTGTTTGTTTGTGTGTTTAAATATATAAAAAAGTTTATTCATTTTTTAAAAAAAAATTAATGTTTTTAATTTGTTTATTAGTAGTACTGATTTAGTACTCTATTAAATGAATAAATAAAATAAAATAAACATTATATATCTTTACTTATGTATAATTGCAATATAATCATTATAAGCATTATATTGTATTAATAAATTTAGCTATAATGTTAACTTGTGTAATTATGATTTATAACTTTATTTTTTTAGTTAATAATAATAATTAATTTTATTAATAAAAATATATTAATTTTTTTTATCAAAGGTTGATAAGTTTATATTACTTAATAAAAATTATAAAACTGAATTAAATCACAAATTTTATTATAGAGTATAAGAAAAATTAAATATTTATAAATTATTTTTTTCCATTTAGTTATAATATGATTTATTTAAAATATAATAAATTTATATATATATATATTGTTAATTATTAATAATCAATTAGTAAATTACGTATATTATGTTAAATAGAAAAAATGACTTGATAAGTTTTATAGTGATAATAATAATAATTAAAATAAAAAATAATAATAAAATACTAATCATAATTATAATATAAACAATAAAAAAATAATTTTTTGTTGAATAATTAATTTAATATTATAATTAGTTATATAGTTAAGCAAGATTTTTTATGCATGTGGGGGAGAGGGGGGGGGGTTTAATAGAATTAATGTAGAAAAAATGTATATGCTAAAATAAATAAAAATTGAAACTAGCTCAAAACTAAATTCAATCAACAACAAAAAATACTATTTAAATATTTTTTTTTGTTGTTGATATTTTTAGTGTATAAGTTAATAAATACTATATAATTTTTATTAATTAAAATATATAACAATAAAATTTATTAATAATTTTTACAAAAAAAATGTATTTAGAGTATAATTTTTGTGTGTTGTAAATAACATTTTAATTGTAAGATAATTTAATTTACATTTTTAATTTTAATTATTATAAATAATAATTTAATTTAACTAGGTAACATAAACATATATATATAATAAACTAAAAAAATAAGGGGGCAAAATCATTATACCCATTATAACCCTCCTCTATGCTAAAGTCATAGTTAAAAATCTATGATATAAAACTGCTGTATATTATGAAACTTTTTTATTTATTAAGTAATTTTTACTTGCTTACTTGTAACTATTAACTAAATATTAAGTTTAATATATAAAATTTTTATCAACAATGGCAAACAAAACGGTATACAAAATAAGTATTATAATTATAAATAAATATTTATTTATAATAATAATAATATAATTAAAGTGAAAAAAATTATTTACTAAATATATTAATTTGTTTAATAATCTCAAAAAAAAACTAAATAGATTTTAGATTTTATCAAAACTAATATCGATCTAAACAATAGTCAATTGGCTTATAGTATACTAAATGTCGACGATTTGGTCCTAAAATATCGACAATGGTTTCGACTAATGCCTAAAATTAGTCCCTATTATGCCGTCAAAGCTAATCCCAATCAACAATTGCTTAAAGTGCTTATTGAACTGGGAGTTGGATTTGATTGTGCCAGTCAGGTATAGTTAGTTGTTTATATGGTTTATTATAAATTTATTATATTTTTAAATCTATATTAAATTTTATTATTTTATTAAATTTAAATTTAAATCATAATTTGTTTGTTATTATTATTAAGTATGAAATGCAACGCTTAATAGGATTGGGTGCCAAACCCGAGTCAATCATATTTGCCAATACATGCAAAACCCGTGAATCGCTTAAGTATTCACACGATTGCGGTATTAGACTAATGACTGTCGACTGTTTGGACGATTTGTATGATATTCAGTGTATGCATCCCGGTGCCAAACTACTGGTGCGTATTAAAGTTGATGACACGGATTCAATAGTCAAACTGAATGATAAGTTTGGCCTCCAATTGGACGGTGTGTACGACCTGTTGACGGCAGCTAAAGACAAGGATCTCCAGGTAATAGGTGTAGCCTTTCATGTGGGTAGTGGTGCACAAAATGCCCAATTGTACGCCCAGGCTATTGCCAGTGCTCGACAAGTGTTTGATTTGGCCGCAGCTGTAGGCTATCATCAGATGACAGTACTGAACATTGGCGGCGGTTTTCCCGGTAGTACTACTAGTCATTATCAGTCGCCGGACAATAGCGGCGGTACTTATATTGAACAAATAGCTCGTGTAGTCAACCGGGCTATCGATGACTATTTTGGCGATTATGGCGATAGTCTATCGATTATGGCTGAACCGGGCACTTATTTTTGCGAGTCAGCCGTAACACTACTGACCAGAATATTATCGAAAAAGTTGGTAATCGATGGACAAAATAATATCGAAAAAATTATGTATTACTTGAATGACGGCGCTTACGGTTCGTTCAGAGATTCAATATATATACAGAAAAACTATAAACCCTTACCATTGCTGGCATCGGATGATAGTCTTAAGCGGAAAAGCTATAACAGTATACTATGGGGACCGACATGTTGTAGTCGGGACTGTATTCAAGATAACTGTTCAATGATCGAGATGTTTGCCGGCGAATGGCTATTATTTGATAATATGGGCGCCTATACTGAAAATTATGGAAACTATGGGTTCAATGGTATACCTAAACCATTATGTTTAGTATATCGTAATTATAGTTAACATTTTTTTTAATAGTAAAATAATTTACTCCTTTATCACTTTATAATATTATTATACAATATTTTATGCAAATTATTTGTAATAAATTTATTAAATAATAAAATAAATAAATTAATTGTTGTTAAAATATTTTTACCAAAATGATTGTACGATTAATTAATCAAATCGTTTAATTAAAGCAATAAAAAACTTATTTAATAAAATATTATATATATATATATAAATTTTAAACATTTAAAAAAATTATATCTTGTAGTATAAAAGTTTTTAGTATTTTTATTTTCATATATTTATATATATATATATATTATTCTAATTAAAAAAACAAACAAACACAAAATATTAAAAAATAATTATTTATTTATTATATGTTTAAAAATTAATACTTATGTAACAATAAGTTAGGTTATTATAAACATACTGTAGATTATTAATTAACAAATAAACATAATTAATTTATTAAAACACAAAATTATATATATGTATATATGTGTGTATGGGGGTGGGGGTGCCTGGGTGGCCGATAGGCTAAGTTGTCGGCATTTAGGCAAAAATAAATTATCGTTTTTCAATTTTCAAATACAACTTATCCGGACAATAGGTATAGTGTTCGACAATCGGATCGGTTTTCAGTACGGTTTGGCCATCGATTGCTACAAACTTGTATCTAATAAGCAAATGTGCCATGGTCAATTTGATGGCAATCAGTGCAAACCGAAACCCGGGACACATACGACGGCCCAAACCAAACGGCAGATACGCTGAGTCAACCAATCGGTGTTTGTTATGTTTGACGAACCGGTCGGGTATGAACTGGTCGGGCATTGGATAGTAATCGGGACATCGCTGTACTGCTGAACGTGAAAACTGGATTACCTGACCTTTTTTGATGGTCACACCTTTTTTATATTTTATTAAAAAATAATAAATTTTATTAATAAAAAATAATTGATTAATAATTATAAAGATATAATTTACCGGTTGTCTCATCCATATAGTCTTGTTTGGCTACCCGTCCGTCTCTATTGACAGCCGCGTGTAGTCTCAGTGCTTCCGATATACAGGCATTCAAATAGTCAAGTTTGACCACTTGTTCCCAATCAAACTGATCGGCAATTGTCGGGTTCGTAGAGTTGCTGTTATCCCGAAAACAGGTAACAATTTCATCGTAGACTCGTTGCTGACAATCAGGATTTACGGCCAACTCATAGATAATGAATGTCATGGATAGCGAGTGTCCGTCAAACGCTCCCTGAAATAGTGAGAACATATTGGCCACCACTTCCTCTTCGGTCATCATTTGATCTATAATTTTATTATTGTTTTTTTTGTGGACATTAGATATTAGTTAGTAAATAATATTTAATTATAATAATAATTATTATTATTATGAATTTACTATCAATTGAAGTCTCGTCGTCAGCTGTTTTGTCCAGTGATTTGCCGGTAAAATCTGGACACCGATTCAGAAGCGATTGAAAAAAGTCATCGTATGTATCGGTAGTATTGGCCAAACGTTTGCGTTTAGTTAACTCCTGTTTAGTTAGTTCAGCGAACTGGTCGAGCGCTTCGGCAGATATAATGTTAGACATGTTGAGCACCTGTAGCATGAATTTCGGTAGCACTAGTAGGCCTAGTATACGCCATTTAGATGGAAATAGTAGTCTATTGATTAGCTTGGTAAATTTATTATAAGGATCGTCATCATTGAATGTATTGTGTTGTTGTTGTTGTTGTTGTTGTTGTTTCCACGAAAACATGACTGACCCGAACAGGTCTATCGATTGATTGACAAACAATTGCCGAATATCGATGACATCAACAGCCGACTGACCCATCAATTTGTTGTCCAAAAAATTGGTTAAATTATGTAAATTAACTAAAATTTTATTGTCGACCATTGATCTAAGTTTCTGATCCGAAAACAATGTCCTAATAACCGCTCGCATACGTAACCAAATCTGGTCGCCGCTGTTGTCGACGACATACCTATAGATTGGATGATCGCTTGGTGTTAGCAATGCTGGCCTTGAATTGCGAAATATATTGAAATCTTTGATCAAAATATTTTTGATTAACTTTGGATCCGATGTCATCATAATTGGCTCATTTGATTCAAATACACTATTAATATGAAGTAAAATATTTTTTTTTTTAAATATTAATTATTTTTATATATCTATATATTAATCACCCATAAGTTGGTCCATATTTTTGACGCCTTTCTCTATCGATGAGAGAAATCGGACGAAACAACTGTTCGAATGTATTTCCAAACCATATCCAGGGTTTCGGTCCGTTTAGGCCTCTGTCCGACCAATAGTTAAAATTACGGTTTAAATAACTGTAAAATATTATCGGTTTAACAAAAAAATAAATTAAAATAATATTTTTGTTAACTGTATTTATAATTAAATATTAATTAACTATTAAACATTTAAATAAAATCTTTAATAAATAGTGATTTTTTATAAAAAAAAAATAAAAAGTCTACTAAATTAATTATTTATTTAATAACTATAAATTAATATATCATAAAATTTTAAAAAATAATATTATATATATATATATATATTACCGGTAAATTATAATTGTAGTGATAAAAAATATTATTATTAATAATAATAATAACATTATCAACTTTATTGCTATTATAAATTTTTTTTAAATCGTCTAAAGTTAAACTACTAAAAATTATATTAATATATATATATTATATATATTTATATAAGAAAAATTTAAAATACCAAATATTATTATTTTTATATACACTGTATGACAAATAAGTGTCTATAAATATTTATAAATAATAACGAATTAATTTGTTTTATTATAATTAAATAAAAATCTTATAATTAATTTATTTTTAAAATTATAATTTTTTTATTTATTAATTGTTTTGTTAAGATTTTTTCTATGTTTTTTTTATTAATAAAAATATAAAACTAAATTTAAGTACCATGACAAATAAAAATTAATTTTATATACAATTTGTATATATGTCTATATGATATTTATTAGCATAATTATTATTACTACACAATCTATTAAAAATCAATTAATTATTAAATATTAGTTTAGAATACACATACACATACACATACACATACACATACACATACACATACACATACACATACACATACACATACACATACACATACACATACACATACACATACACATACACATACACATACACATACACATACACATACACATACACATACACATACACATACACATACACATACACATACACATACACATACACATACACATACACATACACATACACATACACATACACATACACATACACATACACATACACATACACATACACATACACATACACATACACATACACATACACATACACATACACATACACATACACATACACATACACATACACATACACATACACATACACATACACATACACATACACATACACATACACATACACATACACATACACATACACATACACATACACATACACATACACATACACATACACATACACATACACATACACATACACATACACATACACATACACATACACATACACATACACATACACATACACATACACATACACATACACATACACATACACATACACATACACATACACATACACATACACATACACATACACATACACATACACATTATAATAATCAACTAATAATATTAATTAAAATAATATATTTAATGACTAGCAGCAAAAAAAATATTATACTTGAAAATATATAAAATATGTAATAAAATAAATAATTTTATCATAGATAAGTGAATAATTAATTTATAGTCATTATAGTTAATGTTATTTTTTAAACACATAAAATAAATTTTGAATAACAGAAAAATATAAAATATTTTTATCGTATTAATAGTTAAAGCGATTCACGGGTTTTTTCATGTATTGGCAAAAATGATTGACTCCGGGTTTGGCACCCAATCCTATCAAGTGTTGCATTTCATACTTTTTAATCGATAGCAAACAAACAAACAAAAAATTTTGATTAAAAATACATAGATAATAATAAACCATATATATATATATATATATATATATATATATATATATACTGGCACAATCAAATCCAACTCCCAGTTCAATAAGCACTTTAAGCAATTGTTGACTGGGATTAGCTTTGACGGCATAATAGGGACTAATTTTAGGCATTAGTCGAAACCATTGACTATATATTTATAACCAAATTGTCGACATTTAGTATACTATAAGCCAATTGACTATTGTCTAGTAAATCGATATTAGTTTTGATAAAATCTAAAATCTTAATAAAATTAAAAAAAATATTAATTATTATTTAATATTATTTATTTTTTAAAAAAAACTACTATTTTTTAGTACCCGCTTTGTTTTCTATTGTAGAAAAAAAAATTATTATTTAGTAGTAAATATTATATAAATATTATAATAAAAAAAACAATAAATTTTTTACTATTACATGTTTTACCTAAAAAAATATTAACTCAATATAAACTCAAATTATTTATTTTTAATACATGTTTTTTTTTAAAAAAAAAAAGATAAATATTTAGTATTCCTATATAAAAAAAATATTAATACATAGACTTATTATAAGAAGTATTATTGAAAGTTGAATTGAATTCAATTATAACTACTATAATATTGCATTATCATTATGTATTGAAAATACATATATAAATCAGTTGTGACCATCAAAAAGGATCAGATGATACAGTTTTCACGTTCAGCAGTACAGCTTTGTCCCGATTACTACCGAATGCCCGACCAGTTCATACCCGACCGGTTCCTCAAACAAAACAAACACCAATTGATTGACTAAACGTATCTGCCGTTTGGTTTGGGCCGTCGTATGTGTCCCGCCTATATATACGCTCAGATGGCCTTAAAATTGAACACGGCACATTTGCTGGCCAGGTACCGATTTTTACCGATCGATGGCCAAACCGTATTCAAAACCGATCCGATTTTTGAACACTACGCCTATTGTCCAGAAAAATTAGTATTGAAAATTGAAAAACGAAAAGTTTAATTCATCAAAACATCTATTAATAATATTTATCTTAAATATTAAAAAAAAAAAAAATTATTTTAATACGTATACAAAATTTCATTTAAAAAACAATTATTAGTTTATATCTATAATTTAATTTAAATTTAATATAACTTCTAATTCAATAATTAATATTAATGTAGTTATAATCTATAATTTATAAATGTTTAAATCTTTACAACATTAAAAAAAATAATTTAATGTTTTTTTTACAAATAGATAAATTTATTATATGTTTTTTTTTAAAGTAACCAAATTAATTTTATTTAAAAAACTTTGATAATTACTTTTTGAATGATTTACAAGTTTAAAATAGTTATTAATAATAATAATTATTATTATAAATAAATTTTTTGTTAAAAAAAATTCTATAAATTCAATTAATATATATTCAAATATATAATAATAATAATAACTATAAACATATTAAAAAAAATCTCATGTTTTTAAATTTTTACATATTTATAGTATATACACTCAAAATCTATACTATGTTATATAATACTTAGTTATATATTTTTTTATAAACAATTTAATATTATATATATAAATAAATAGCTTAATTATACAGAATAAATTAAATTAATTTTAATAATTTTTGATTTTTTTCTATTTAATTAAAAAAAATACTAATTATTATTTTTTATTATTAAAACAAACTTATCGTATGATTACCGGTGCTCTCAGGTATCCGATATGTTATGTGATAGCCATCACCTAATTAGTAGTTTATTATACATGTAATAAATTTTATTTTTAATTTAATTGAAATTTTTATAATAAATTTTATTAAATTTAAATGATTATTAAGTAAGTTATTTTTAAGTAAAATTTTTCTTTGTTTAACAAATTATGATAATGCATAATTTATAAATATTTAGTTTTAAAATTAATAATTAAATATAAACTAAATGATATAAATAAAATCTTAAGTCTGTATTTTAAGTATTTTATTAAAATTATTATTTTTTTAAAATTTATATAATTCATTGGAATTATTTCTAAATCATTTACTTATAGACTTAATATTATAGGAAAATTTAAGTATAGATTTTAGAGGTGCAAACAAATTTTTTTTTTTTTTTTAAATATATTACAACATTTAATAATAATTTTTTTTAAATCTGTTAAATAAATTTGATTTAACAACTATTATACCGTTAGTTACACTCTATTAAGCTTTAATTTTAATTTGATTTTAATGTTAAATAATTAATATGTTTTTTAAAAAACAGAAAATTATTATTATTATTTTTTGCTTTTAATTTTACTAATCATTTTTATGATTATTTTAATTACTAAAAAATTATGTTTTTAATCATAAATAATAAATTGCGTACAAAGTTTACGTAAATATGATTATGCATTTTTATTTTATAACTTATAATAATTGTTATAAATTAATAATTTATTAATTAATTAAAACTATTCCTAATTAATAATCCTAAATAGTGTTTGTATAGTAAATTTTATATTAGATTAATAAATTTATGTATTAATTATTTAGTTTTTTTTTGAAAATAAATATTTTACTTAATATTTTATATTATTATTAAAAACATAAGAAAAACTATTAAACATAAACAACAACAAAATGTTACTTTTTATGAGTTTTATTACTATTATTATTATTATATTAATATTGTTTTACTGGTAAGAATATAACATTATTATTATTATTATTATTTTTTGTTAATATTTAAAAATATTTTATTAAAATTATATTATATTCACTTTTTTCAATATATATATATATATATATGTATTAAATAAGTAATTGAATTTATTAATAATAATAATAATCCATTATCATTATGTATTGAAAATACATATATAAAAAATATTTAATCAAATAAATAATTTTATTGATATATACATATATATATATATATAAGTGAATAATTAATTAATAGTACAGTCATTGCAGTAAAATTTAATTAAAATACAAATAATAAATTTTGAAATAAGGTTAAGTAAAGGAGGTGGGAATGTGGGGGGGGGGTCAAGGCAAATGACTCCCCCTCTAAAATTAATAATGGCCTAAATTTTTTTCATAGTTTATAAAAATTTTTATTTTAGTCGATATTTTATTAAGTGTTATTATGTTTTTATTAATTTATTTAAAAAAAACAATTTAATTTATTGGAAATATTTAGCTATTTTACTGGGAATTTATAGATGAAAATATTCGGGGGACTCTTTCCTTCCCCCCCGCCACTGTCCTTATTGATTTTGGCGCTTAAAATACATAAAAAAAAGTCTAGATTTTTTTAGTGATTTATATAACTTGCACCTCCCTAGAGCCCCCCTCCCTAAAATCAAAAAGATTCATAATAGATGTGAAAAACTTAATTGTTTTGTATAGCTTTAAGCAAAATATTGATGCAAATAATAATTTTTTTTTTAATTAAATTATGAAAAAAATAATAGTAAACGTATAGATGTTTATGAAAATATGATTAAATATATAAATGTCGAAATTAAATGATATATCAATTTTTTTTGCAATTGAATGCATTATTGAAATAATAATTAAATTCAATAATAATAATTATTAAAAAAAATGATATATATATATATGACATATAGTATATAAGTATAATAAGTATTTTTATTTAAGTTTTATTTTCTAAAAAATGTTTTAATCAATATTTTCATTATTATTATTATTATTATTAAAACAAACTATTGTTTAGTAAAAATGTTACTTTTATTAAGTAGTAGTATAAGTATTATTATATTAATATTATTTTATTGGTAAGACTATAATATTATATGTTTTGTTTTATAAATTAAAAGAAAAACTTTAAAAATATATTTTATCAAATTAATAACTATATATACAGTATATATATATATATATATATATTATTTAAATAAATATAATTTTAAGTTTGAAAAAAATAATAATAATATATAAATATACGGAACTTTTTATTTGTTTGTTTAATAGTTATCTGAAACGCAATTTTAACTATTGGTCGGACAGAGGCCTAAACGGACCGAAACCCTGGATATGGTTTGGAAATACATTCGAGGAGTTGTTTCGGTCGATTTCGGTCATCGATAGAGAGAGGCGTCAAAAATATGGACCAACTTATGGGTAATTTTTAAAAAAAAATTAGTATTAAAAATATAGACCAAACTATGGGGTGAAATAGATATATATAAATAATAATTGAATTATTTTTTATATACATATTTTTAATATTTATTTTCTATATTAATAGTGTGTTTGAATCAAATGAACCAATTATGATGACATCGGATCCCCAGTTAATCAAAAATATTTTGATCAAAGATATCAAATCGTTTGGTCACCTAATGCCCCCATACATACCAGAGCCCGATCATCCAGTCTATAGGCATGTCCTTGATATAGCTGACGACGATAACAATCAACGTATGCGTGCAGTCTTCAGGACACTGTTTACCGATAAGAAACTTAGATTAATGGCCAAAAAAATTGATAAAACCTTAATACGATTGACAAATGCTTTGGACAATGAATTGTTTGGCCAGTCGTCGGCGTCGGCATCGGTATCTGTTGTCGACATTAAGCAGATGTTCATCAATCAGTCGATAGATTTGATTGGAAATGTTATGTTTTCGTTGAAACAACAATATAATACATTCAATGATAATCCTAATCCTAATAATACTAATTATAATAAAATTACCCAGCTAATCAAACGTTTGTTTATACGATCAAAATACCATATATTAGCCCAACTAGTTCTACCAAAATTCATGCTCCGTGTGCTTAATATGACTTCCCTTATATCTGCCGATGATCTGAATAAATTTACTGATCTAACAGTTAGTGAGTTAACTAAACGCTTGAACATCAAAACTATAAGCACCGATACGTACGACGATTTTCTACAGTGGCTGCTAAATAGGTGTCCAGAATTTATGGACAAATCGGTGGACAAACCGGTGGACAAATCGGTGGACAAATCGGTGGACAATGAAACTGATGAGACATTATCGTCATTATCGGGTAAGTTATCCTACTATTGGCTATAATGTAAAATTAATTGGTTATCATTTATATATTAAATTATATTATTAATTATTATTAATTATTATTATTATTATTATTATTATTAATTATTATTATTATTATTAATTATTTTTATTATTATTAATTATTATTATTATTATTAATTATTTTTATTATTATTAATTATTATTATTATTATTATTATTATTATTAATTATTATTATTATTATTAATTATTATTATTATTATTAATTATTATTATTATTATTAATTATTATTATTATTAATTATTATTATTATTATTAATTATTATTATTATTAATTATTATTATTATTAATTATTATTATTATTATTATTTATTATTATTATTTATTATTATTTATTATTATTATTATTAATTATTATTATTATTATTAATTATTATTATTATTAATTATTATTATTATTATTAATTATTATTATTATTAATTATTATTATTATTATTATTTATTATTATTATTTATTATTATTTATTATTATTATTATTAATTATTATTATTATTATTTATTATTATTTATTTTTTAAAAAAACTTACAGATATGTCAAAAACAATGAGCAAACAGGAAGTGGTGGCCAATATGTTTTCGCTATTTTCGGCATCGTATGACAGCTACTACCTAACCATGACATTCATTATCTACGAGTTGGCCATAAATCCTGATTGTCAGCAACGAGTTTACGATGAAATTATTACTTGTTTTCGGGATAATAATACCGATAGTCAATCGACAACAATCGATGGCCAGTTGTTTGATTGGGAAACGTTAGGCAAACTTGAGTATCTGGAGGCCTGTATATCGGAAACATTGAGATTACATTCAATTCTCAATAGAGAAGTTAGGATTGCCAGACATGACTATACAGATGAGACAACTGGTATACTATTATATTATTACTATTATTATTATAGGTTTTATTAATACAACTAATAAATAGTTACATTTAAATATATCAATAATAATAATATAATTATCGTATTTTTTATATACTGTTTATAATAATTATAAAGTGAGTAATATTTTTAATAATAAATAGTTTATATAAATAGAGTATTACATTATTTTATATAAATTTTATATAAAATATATATATATATATAATATAAATATAATATCTTTATAATTAGTATTTATATTTATATTCAAATTTTTTAATAACATTATTAAAATTATAAATAGAGTATAGCTTTAATTATTATTAAAAATTTTTTATTTATAAATAAAAAAAAGGTGTGACCATCAAAAAGGATCAGATGATACAGTTTTCACGTTCAGCAGTACAGCTTTGTCCCGATTACTACCGAATGCCCGACCAGTTCATACCCGACCGGTTCCTCAAACAAAACAAACACCAATTGATTGACTCAACGTATCTGCCGTTTGGTTTGGGCCGTCGTATGTGTCCCGCCTATAAGTTTGCTCCGATGGCCTTAAAATTGAACACGGCACATTTGCTGGCCAGGTACCGATTTTTACCGATCGATGGCCAAACCGTATTCAAAACCGATCCGATTTTTGAACACTACGCCTATTGTCCAGAAAAATTAGTATTGAAAATTGAAAAACGAAAAGTTTAATTAAAAAACATCTATTAATAATTATATTTATCCTAAATATTTAAAAAAAAATTATTTTAATCTGTATCCAAAATTTTATTTATTTTTTTTTTAAATTGTAATTATTGTATTTTTTTGTTGCTGGTTTTTATATCTATAATTTAATATAACTTACTAATTCAATAATTAATATTATTGTAGTTATAAATGTTTAAATCTTTATAACATTTTTTAAACAAAATTTTTACAAATAGATAAATTTATTATATGTTTATTTAAGTAAAAAATCAGAAATTAATTTTATTTTTAAAAAAAACTTTGATAATTAATTTTAGAATGATTTACAAGTTTGAAATAGTTATTAATATATATTATTATTATTATTATAAATAAATTTTTAGTTATTTTTTTTTATAAATTCTAGTAATATATATTGTAATATAATAATAATAATAATAATTATAAACATATTAAAAAAAATCTCAAATGTTTTTAAATTAGAAAATATTTTATTTGTTAATAAATTTCAGTTTTAATTTTTCAATTACTAATATCTATGAATTAAAATCAATTTGAAACTTATGGTCTGATTCCCGGTTGATAGGCCAGTGCCGACTGTCCATTGCATTTGGTCTGACAATTGCCCGAAAGCTGCCAACGTTCGAACAATGGCCGCGAACTGGTCATCGGTTTGTCCACACACTGACCCGGCGTTTGGGGCAAAAATATAGCCCAACCCTTGAGTTGAGTACCGGCACAGGGACCCGATGTTATGACACCCACCTCATGATAATAGATATCTCCTGTTTTTTTTGTTTGATTAAAAATAATAATGTTTTGATATAATAACTAAAATATATATATATATATATATTAATAGTTAACTATTACCGTCAATAATAGTAATGATAATATGTTTTTGTTTCAATGTAATAGCTATGGTCTGTCCATTACCCAGTAGGGCATCAAACACTAGATCATCGTATTGTTCAACAATCATACCATTACAGGTCATCTCAACGTTCAACGATTCGGTAAACATTATCTCCTGTATGTCTAGACTACTGTCCTCATGACTGACACATTCAAACAGATTCAAAAACGTGCCGTTAATATACTTCATCGGTGTTATAGCTGTTAATGAAAAATAAATAAATAAATTTTTGTTTAACAAATAAAAAAAATATTTTTACCTAAATTTTCAAATTTGTGGTGATTTCCTATTAATCAAAAAATAAAACAAATATATATTAGAATTATTTTTTTATAAATTTAAAAAAAAAATAATAACGAATTTAATTAGTTTTTTAGAATATTCATAATAAAAATTAACAAATATATATAAATTTTATATAATTTATTATTTTTTTTAAAAATTCATACCAGGAATTACTGATTCTAGTGATTGGGAATAAACAACAATTGTTTTAATATTTAATACTAAAACTAGTATTAATATTAAACTTATTGAACGCATTGTTAGTTTCTTTATTATTATTAATAATAATTGTTATACAGGTATATATATAATATTGAAATAAAACTTTTATACTTATAAGATATTATTATAACTACTGTATAAAATAGATAAAATACGGTATATATATATATGTGTAGTTAATTATGTAGAAATATATGTCAATTCATACTTTTAATTACTAACAAAAATTTCATAATAATTTTTATTAAAAAAAAAAGATTATTATTATTTTATTGAAATTATTAGTAAATTTTACTTAATTAATTGTACAATCATTGTTAGAAAAAATATTTAATTACTTATTAAATCTTTTATCTAATAGTTATTCAATATTTGTATAAATAAATATTATTTATTTAAATATTTAATAAATAATATAAATATATATGTAAATAAATTACTGATTGAAATTGATTTTTTGATAATCAGTAAAAAAATTTTGTTGTTAAGTAATTAAAATCGTTATTAAATTTAAAAATAAAAAATCAAAATAATTTAAACGTTATATTAAAATGAAAAATCATTTGTTTTTATTTCATTAACTAAATTATTTAGTAACCAATTAATTGTAGACTCATTGTACAAATATTTTCTAAACTATTAATATTTAATTTATATATTATTTAGTTATTTATAATTTGATTATTGAATTTCAAAATTTTTTTTTTGTATCATCAAATAAATATAATCAAATGAATATATTTAGTAAAAAATCAAAACCCTATTATATTAATAAAACAAATGATAGTAATATTAACAAATTATTTAATTGTTTCAATGATTTTTTTAATAATAAAAAACATTTATTAGTAATTGTATTGTTATGTTATGCAAACTTATGCGAAGGTCTTATTATTTCACTATCGGCGCCATTGTTTCCAATTGAGGTAAAAAAAATAAAATAAAAGTTTTAGAAATATTTTAGAAATAATTTAGAAATTTTTGTTTGTTTGGAATATTAAATAATTTTCTGGGAATTTTTAGGCAGAATTTTTAAAGAATTTTCTATAGATTTTGGACTATTATTTTTTGAAAAATAAAATATAAAAGTCTAGACACACCCTATACCACTAAAGTTGCCTACTAGCCCACCCCACCTAAAATCCAAAATCTTGCATAACCCTAATATACAGTATATATATATAGGTATCAATTAAACAAAATTTATTAATTAAACGCAATGACTGTATTATACGGTATAATACAAAAAGTTGTGTTTAATAAATAATTTTTTTGATTTAAATTTAATTTAAAAATTAAAAACAAAAATAATAATACTATTAATACTAATAAATCTATTTAAAAATAATAATAAAAATAAAATTATCTAGGCTAAAAACAAAAATATTAGTTTAACATGGATCGGTATTATCATGGCCATTTCAGAAATTGGCATAATTATTGGTTCGCCAATAGTTAGCAAATTGGTTTGTTTAAAATTTTTAAAAAATAAATATTATTAATAATAATTAATAATAATTAGTAAAATTTAATAATTATTGTTTTTTCAATTTTTTGTTGTTAATTAAATTAATAAAACAAAAAAAAAGATGCCGCCATTTAATCCTAAATTAATGCTAATTTTTGGTGCATTTATATTTGGTCTAAATTGTATTGGGTTTGGGTTTGTTATCTATTTATTATTATATTATATTATTGTATTAATAATAGGTTTGTTTTAAATTTGTTAATTAATTTTTTTTTGAAAATGTTTTTTTTTATACACACAATGTTAGTGCACTTCAATGGGTATATTTAAAAACACCATTTCTAGTGATGGCTATAATTTTGAAAGCAATTGAAGGTTCAAGTAATTCAATAATTATTGTTAGCATTTGGACTATAATAAGCTTAGAGTATCCAGATAAGTTTACTAAATTATTAGTAAGTTTACTATTACTATTACTATTACTATTACTATTACTATTACTATTACTATTACTATTACTATTACTATTACTATTACTATTACTATTACTATTACTATTACTATTACTATTACTATTACTATTACTATTACTATTACTATTACTATTACTATTACTATTACTATTACTATTACTATTACTATTACTATTACTATTACTATTACTATTACTATTACTATTACTATTACTATTACTATTACTATTACTATTAGCCAACTATTGAGTTATGTCAGAGTATCGGTCAAATCTGTGGTCCGTCTATTGGAGGGATATTAAGTCAAGTAAACTAAAATCACATTTAATTAATGATAATAATATATATATGAGAATACTTTAAATAAATAAATTTGTTTTTTTTTGTTTTTAATTTTAGCTAGGTGAAAACTATAATATAGGATTTAGTTTACCATTTTTTATAATGGGTATAATGCAAATTGTTTGCTCAATATTATTAACGATTTTCTTAATTAAGAAAAGTAAGTTTATTATTATTTTTATTTTCTAATTTTTAAAATAAAAAATTATATATTATTTATTTGTAATATAATATAATTTATTTTTTTATTTAATTATAGAATCAGATAATACATCAATAGATGTTATGAATAAAAAAACTACTGTTTTCAAGATTTTAAACAATTTTAATGTTACAATCAATACAATAATATGTATGAATTGTTTTGTAATATTAGGTTTTAATCAAACAACACTTCGACTGTATTTAGATTCAGTAAAAATAATTATCTATTATTACTATTATTTTTATTTTTAAAAAAAACAAACAAAAGTTTAAATATATATAATTAATTAATTAATTAATAATAATATTTCATTAACTAACTAATAGATCCAAACATTATCTTCGGCCACAATTGGGGCCATATTTATGATTACTGGCCTATTATATGGATTATCCAGTTATTTGTTTGGCTATATTACTGACAAAATTATATTAAACAAAAATCATTGGTTAGATTTGAATCCGATTTGTCTAATCGGTTGTATATTCTATACGATAGCCTACATAATGGCCGGTCCGATGCCATTCATACCGATGCCATTTGAATCGTTAGTTAAGTTTTTAAATGTTATTGTTTTAAAAATTTTGAAAAAAATTGTTTAATAATTACTAAATTACTATATATATATATATAATATTAAATTATTATTATTATTATATAGTAAATTATTATGGCCACCAATAGTTGCCCAGTTATTTATTGGATTAGGTATGGGCGCCCAGTTTATAGGCTCTTTTCTACAGGTTATGCACCAAACAATGTACTTATTATTAATATCATATAATTATTTCTTATTGATATTTGTTAATAATATTATTATTTGTTAATATTATTGATATTTCTTAATAATATTATTATTTGTTAATAATATTATTATTTGTTAATAATATTATTATTTGTTAATAATATTATTATTTGTTAATATTATTATTATTTGTTAATATTATTATTATTTGTTAATATTATTATTATTTGTTAATATTATTATTATTTGTTAATATTATTATTATTTGTTAATATTATTATTATTTGTTAATATTATTATTATTTATTAATATTATTGATATTTATTAATATTATTTCTAATAATAATTATTAGTAAATCTGGTTTTCCCGACAATGTGTCCACATATTCATCAATTTCCGGTATATTTTCATCAGCAATGGCAATGGGGTTAATATTATTTATTTTTTAAAAATAAATAAAAATTATTACTTAAAATATCTATTATAAATATTATATATAAATATATATATTTATTTAATTTGTATTAAAGAGTTTTAATTGGATCGTCAATTGGCGGCTACATGACTGACCAAATTGGCTACCGATGGTCAACCGTACCGATTGTTGGCTTACAATTAGTTATGGTATGCAATTTTTAAAAAAATAAACAATTTAAATTAACTTAATAACTATAAATATTTATTATTAATTTAGATTGCATTGATCATTTTAAATTATTTATGGACAAAATATTGTAATAAAAAATAAACTAATATATATATTTATTATTGATATGAACCAGTATATAACAGTTATATATTCAAAAAAAACTTGAAAAGTTTTGTTTACTGAAATCTATAATGGCTTTTTGAGTCTGTCTGTCTGTCTGTGTGTGTGTCGCATATTTTTTTGCGAATTTTGAAATTCTGACTTCAGATTCGGTTAGAGGACTACTAATAATGTATTGAAAAGTTTCATTAAAATTTTGATATCTCTTCGGGAACATAGAGAAAATGGCGGCCAAAGTAAAAAAATTTAGGTAAAAATTTTAACGTTTAGAATTGTATAGAGCATCAAAAATAAGATATTATAGATCAAAATTATCAATTTTTAAAAAGTATGATTATAGTTGTTTATTTTGTTATACTGAGTCACTTGATATCCTGCATGACTAATGTTAAGTATATTATGTCATACTTAGTCATTTGATATCAATATTTAATTTATGTATATTTGACGTTTTTTAAATTTTTAAATGTTACTCTATAGCCGCTATAATTATATAAACGTATGGTTTTCAACGCTATTCAAGTTTTTTTCTGAAAATGCTTTCTAGCATTCTTAACTGGTTTTTATCTGAAAATATTTTTTTTATTAATAAAATATTAAAAACTACTAAAATTTAATTATTAAAAAATATTATATAAGTATAAGTATTTTAGTTCAATGACTGATTGGTTGATTGAAAAAATATTTTAATTTTTTTAAATGATTCATACATTTAAAACTTTCTATAAACTATTATAAACTATTTATAAACTATTTATAAACTATTTATAAACTATTTATAAACTATTTATAAACTATTTATAAACTATTTATAAACTATTTATTATAAACTATTATAAACTATTAAATTTAGTTTTTTCTAATTTAACTAAATAAATGTCTTAACAATAAGTTTAGTTATTGTCAACAATAACAACAACAATAAAAAAAATTTATGGTTTCAATCCATCTTTAAATGCAAAAAACGACTGTCCACTGCACTTAGCCCGACAAGTGCCCGACAGCTGCCAACGCTCAAACAGCGGCTTCAAACTGGTCAACGGTTTGTCCACACACTGGCCGGGCGATGGCGGCAAAAATATAGACCAACCCTGGATTCGGGTACCGGCACAGAGACCCGATCGGACAATACCAGCTTCACGTAGATATTGATCGCCTGAAAAACAAAACAATACAAAAAAAATTATATAGTTTTGAAAAAAATGTTTGTAATCATTGCAGGTGTTGTTAATGTTTGTTTTTTGGGTTGGGTGTGGGTGTGGGTTTGTTTTTTGTGTGGGGTGTTGGGGTGTGTTTATTTGTTTTTTGGGTGGGTTTTTTTTGGATGGGGTGTGGGAGTAGGTTTGTTTGTTTTTTTTGGGTGGGGTGTGGGAGTAGGTTTGTTTGTTTTTTTTGGGTGGGGTGTGGGAGTAGGTTTGTTTGTTTTTTTGGGTGGGGTGTGGGAGTAGGTTTGTTTGTTTTTTTTGGGTGGGGTGTGGGAGTAGGTTTGTTTGTTTTTTTTGGGTGGGGTGTGGGAGTAGGTTTGTTTGTTTTTTTGGGTGGGGTGTGGGAGTAGGTTTGTTTGTTTTTTTGGGTGGGGTGTGGGAGTAGGTTTGTTTGTTTTTTTTGGGTGGGGTGTGGGAGTAGGTTTGTTTGTTTTTTTTGGGTGGGGTGTGGGAGTAGGTTTGTTTGTTTTTTTGGGTGGGGTGTGGGAGTAGGTTTGTTTGTTTTTTTGGGTGGGGTGTGGGAGTAGGTTTGTTTGTTTTTTTGGGTGGGGTGTGGGAGTAGGTTTGTTTGTTTTTTTTGGGTGGGGTGTGGGAGTAGGTTTGTTTGTTTTTTTGGGTGGGGTGTGGGAGTGGGTTTGTTTTTTTGGGTGGAGTGTGGGTGTGGGTTTGTTTTTTGTGTGGGGTGTTGGGGTGTGTTTATTTGTTTTTTGGGTAGGGTGGGTTTTTTTTGGATGGGGTGTGGGAGTAGGTTTGTTTGTTTTTTTGGGTGGGGTGTGGGAGTAGGTTTGTTTGTTTTTTGGGTGGGTTGTGGGAGTAGGTTTGTTTTTTTTTGGGTGGGATGTGGGGGGGTGTTTATTTGTTTTTTGAGTGGGGTGTGGGACTAGATTTAAGTTTGTACATATATACCATCAATAGTAACGCTGATAACATTTTTATGATCAACTAGTAGTGTATCGATATCGCCATTGCCCAGCACTAGTAGATAATCTAAGTTTCTATAGTTTTCCACAACAACACCATTGCAGGTCATATTGAGGCCAAAGTTAACAGCCATTAATAGCTTAGCAATGTCTAGCCTACTGCCCGGTTCGCTAATACAATTGAATTGATCAAAAAAAAATCCATCAATATATTGTAATGGTGTTATAGCTATAGTTATTGAAAAAAATATATAATTAATAAATAAATATATAATTAATAAATATATAATTAATAAATATATAATTAATAAATAAATATATAATTAATAAATAAATATATAATTAATAAATAAATATATAATTAATAAATAAATATATAATTAATCAATAAATATATGATATATTGATATATATATATATTTAAATAAATAAAAATCTATATTTTTATAAATATAAAATTTATAAATTAAACTTTTATTTTAGTTGTCTATTTTTTTAGCAAAAAACAATTTTAAACAAATTTAATTTATATGTATATATTTTTTAATTTAATTATATATTCATGTATTATTCAAACTTACTTAAATTTTTAAAGTTATTGTAGTTTCCTTTAAAAAACAAAACAAAAAAATTAATTATAATTATAATATCATTATAATAATAATAATACTAAACCAGGTATTAGTTGTTCAATAGTTTCTGAATAAACAACTATTAATTTAATACTAAAAACAATTAATAGGAAAATATTTGAAAACATTTTTTTGTTGTAAAAACAGTAGTTTTAAACAATTACTTAAAAAATGAAAATATATAATAAAATTAAAAAAATTTTGTGATTATTTTTAATCAATATTATATTCAGATATTAAATTGAAATATTTGCAAATTATATCTATTAATTGTAATAAATTTTGTCTAATAATCATATAACGTAATAATGTTTTTTTTAAATAGTTTAATATATTTCTAAATGATTAGTTTGGAAACATGAAAACAATAATAGTATAATCATTAGTTTTTATTACAAAAATAATAATAATTAATATTAAATATTATTAATTAGTATTATTATTATTATACTATTTACTACTAGTATATACTAGTATGTACTAGTATTATTACTAATATTACTATAATACTTTTACAATTACAATTAATAGTAATTAAAAAAAATAAAATTTTTATAATATATTTGATGAATTTTTTTTAATTAATTGCTATTTAAATGAAATTTTAATTTAATAGTTTAAAAAAAATATTTACTATCAATTATCCTATATTTTACTTTTAAAAAACTATATAAAAATATTGAATTAAATACTCGTTAATTAATCTATAAATATAATTAATAAAATTACATTTTTTATAGTTAAATTATAGTAATAAAAAACTTGTTAAATAATTTAAATTTAATTTAATAACAATCATATTATTAATTAATAATTATTAAACATGTTTTTTTATATTGTTAATTTAAGCAATTATATTTATTAATTGTAAAAAATTTTGTCTAATAATCATATAACGTAATAATGTTTTTTGAATAGTTTAATATATTTCTAAATGATTAGTTAAAAACATGAAAACAATCAAATTGATATTTTTTATTACAAAAATAATAATAATTAATATTAAATATTTAATTAAATAATTAATAGTATAATCATTATTTTTTATTATAAAAATAATAATGATTAATATTAAATATTTACTTAAATAATTAATAGTATAATCATTTTACTAGTTAGAAATATTTATTTTTATTAAACTCTATAAGTATGACAACAACTAAAACAAAATATCACAATATTAATAGTAATTAAAAAAAATTAAAAATTTTTATAATATATTTGATGAAAATTTTTTTAAAAATTAATTGCTATTTGTATGAAATTTTTATTTATTAGTTTAAAAAAATATTTACTATCAATTATCCTATATTTTACTTTAAAAAAAACTATATAAAAATATTGAATTAAATACTCGTTAATTAATCTATAAATATAATTAATAAAATTAAATTTTTTATATTTAAATTATAGTAATAAAAAACTTGTTAAATAATTTAAACTTAATTTAATAACAATCATATTATTAATTAATAATTAATAAACAAGTTCGTTTATATTGTTAATTTAAGCAATTATTTAATAATTGTTTGTTAATTTAGTTAAAACTATTTTAAGTATTTTAAATACAAACAAAACAAAATTAAAAAATACAAAATTAGTTTTTAAACACGTTTTTCAATTTTCACAAACAATTTTTCCGGACATTGAATATAGTTATCGACAATCGGATCGGTTTTCAGTACAGTTTGGCCATCGATTGCTACAAACTTGTATCTGATCAGCAAATGTGCCATGGTCAATTTGATGGCCATTAGGGCAAACTTATAGCCGGGACACATACGACGGCCCAAACCAAACGGCAGATACGCTGAATCAATCAATAGGTGTTTGTTATGTTTGAGGAACCGGTCGGGTATGAACTGGTCGGGCATTCGGTAGTAATCGGGACACTGTTGTAGTGCTGACAGTGAATACTGAATCTCCTGACCTTTTTTGATGGTCACACCTTTTGTTTTATATTTATAAATAAAAAATTTTATAAAAAAAAATAATTAAAGTTATACTGTAGTTAAATAATTTTATTAATTTAATTTTAAAAATATGAATATAAATAATAATTATAAAGATATTTGTTTATAAAAATAAATAAATATTATAATTACATTATATTTATATTATATATATATTTTATATCATATAAATATTGATATAAAATTTATATAAAAAAATAATGTAATACTCTATTAATAAAAACTATTTATTATTAAAAAAAATATTACTCAGTTTATAATTATTTATATATACATTATATAAAAAATACGAAAAATAATTATTATATTTAATAATATTCATATAATATATATGATACTAACCGGTTGTCTCCTCAATATAGTCCTGATTGGCTACCCGTCCGTCTCTATTGACAGCCGGGTGTAGTCTCAATGTTTCCGATATACAGGCATTCAAATAGTCAAGTTTGTCGACTGTTTCCCAATCAAACAATAACTGGCCGTTTATACGACTGTCCCAACAGTTAGTAGCAATTAACTCGTCGTAACATTTTTGCTGGCAATCAGTATTGATGGCTAACTCATAGATAATGTATGTCATTGTAACCGAATGGCCGACATATATGCCCTGCGATAGCGACAACATATTACCCATCACTTCCTCTTTACTTAATATTTGATCCATAGTTTGTGAATAAATTTCTATTAAATTAATTTAAGAAAAACACTGTTTTAGATAATTAGCACAAATTATATTATTTATTTTTGTTGGCTCTCTCTCTCTCTCAGTCTCTCTCAGTCTCTCTCAGTCTCTCTCAGTCTCTCTCAGTCTCTCTCAGTCTCTCTCAGTCTCTCTCAGTCTCTCTCAGTCTCTCTCTCTTTTCTCTCTCTCTTTTCTCTCTCTCTTTTCTCTCTCTCTCTTTTCTCTCTCAGTCTCTCTCTGTCTCTCTCAGTCTCTCTCAGTCTCTCTCAGTCTCTCTCAGTCTCTCTCAGTCTCTCTCAGTCTCTCTCAGTCTCTCTCAGTCTCTCTCAGTCTCTCTCAGTCTCTCTCAGTCTCTCTCAGTCTCTCTCTCTCTCTTTTTTCTCTCTCTCTTTTCTCTCTCTCTTTTCTCTCTCTCTTTTCTCTCTCTTTTTTCTCTCTCTTTTCTCTCTCTTTTCTCTCTTTTTTCTCTCTCTTTTCTCTCTCTTTTCTTTCTCTTTTCTCTCTCTTTTCTCTCTCTTTTCTCTCTTCTCTCTCTCTTTTCTCTCTCTCTTTTCTCTCTCTTTTCTCTCTCTCTCTCTTCTCTCTCTCTCTTCTCTCTCTCTCTCTTCTCTCTCTCTTTTCTCTCTCTCTTTTTTCTCTCTTTTTTCTCTCTCTCTTTTCTCTCTCTCTTTTCTCTCTCTCTTTTCTCTCTTTCTCTTTCAGCTACACTTACCATCAATTGATTTTTTATTATTAACTTCATCATCAATATTATCATCAATAGCTGATACCTTATTATTGACAATTGTTAGCGATTTGTTAAAATCTGGACATCTATTCAGTAGCTGTTGGTAAAAGTCATCGCAAATATTATTAGTATTATTATTGGCCGATAAAATCAAACGTTTATCAAACTCGTCAATCATTAGCTCAGCAAACATATCGAGTGTTTTATTAGGCAATAGATTAGACATATCGAGCACCTGTAGTATGAATTTCGGTAATACCAGTAGACATAGTATACGCCATTTAGATGGAAATACTAGACTATTGATAATTTTGGACAACTTATCACTATTGGGATAATCATTGTATGTATTGTGTTGTTGTTGTTGTTTCCACGAAAACATGACTGACCCCAACAGGTCTATCGATTGATTGACAAACAATTGGCGAATATCGACAACAATACCGGTGTCTGGAGCCGACTTGTGGCCAACCATTTCATCCATAGATTTGATTAAATTACATAAATTTTTACCTAATTTGTTATCAGCTAATGATTTAAGATTTTTCACCGAAAACAATGTCCTAATAATACTGATCATCCGTTGCCAACACTGGTCGCCACTGTTGTCGATGACGTGCCGATAGATTGGATGATCGACTGGTGTTAATAATGTTAGACTTGAATTGCAAAATATATGAAAATTTTTGATCAAAATATTTTTGATTAACTTTGGATCCGATGTCATCATAATTGGCTCATTTGATTCAAACACACTATTAATATAAATTCATTTATTTTTAACTTAAAATAAATATTTAAATACTAAAATTTAATTATATTTAAAAAAAAAATTTTACCCATAAGTCAGTCCATATTTTTGACGCCTTTCTCTATCGATGAGAGAAATCGGACGAAACAACTCCTCAAATGTATTTCCAAACCATATCCAGGGTTTCGGTCCGTTTAGGCCTCTGTCCGACCAATAGTTAAAATTACGGCTTAAATGACTATTTAAAAAAAAATTATATATAATTTGTAAAAACAACAACAAAAAAAACTATTTAATATTTCTATATATTTAACTATTTTAGTAGAAAAAAAATTAATAATATATATTCTGTTATATATATATTTTTGTTTACCGATAGAGTAATAGTAGCGTAAAAATAATAATAATAATAATAATAACCAAAATTAACATTATTAACGATTATTATTATTATTATTATTATTATTATTTAAACCAGTCTATAGGTCTTTTCACTTTGAAAACCAAATTCAAACTATATTTCTCTCTCTCTCTCTCTCTCTCTCTCTCTCTCTCTGTTGTAAATAGGGTTCGAACAAATTTCATCCCATGTTTTATATTCAAAAAAGTTCCCTATTTTTCCTGCTTCCTGGGAATTCCTATGGAATCTATTTTTTATTGTGCTAACACAGCTATTAAACTCTAGACAATAATTTTTATTATTAAATATTATTAAACTGTATTCATGGTGTTATTTTGATATATATATATATATAATATTTAAGATTCACAAAAATTCATATCGAAATTAAATTTATTATAAATAAAAAAAATATATTCCAATGAAATTGTATGCAAGTTTTTGTATTATATTTATTATAAAAATACATAAAATGTATTTTCCTTTTTTAAAAAAAAACCTAAAAAGGGATTATATATTATTTTTCGGAAAAATTGGATGGATTTTATTAGGGAAATTCCCCCCCTTTGTAAAGTTGCCCCAACTCTACTTGTAATTTTACTAAACTTAAATGTTAAAAAAACAATGTTCATACACATACGTCACACACTAATAAAAAAAATTATTCATTATACAATTCATATTTAAACCAGTTGAGAATGCTAGAAAGCATTGCCAGAAACAAACTTTGACACTGAAAAAAGATATTCTGTTCGCTCATTATTATAAATTTATAATTAAAATCAGTTGAGAATGCTAGAATGTATTATCCAAAAAAAAATTATAATTGCATATATAAATAAACAACAAATTTTAATTGCTTAAATTACTTAGTTGTCATATAAACGAAATATTTATTTCTGATAGCCAATAGTCAATATGAGTCATATTGCTAAACTATTAATTGTCAATGTACACGACAATATATTTATGGTGATGCAATACTAATGCAAAATTGAATTTTCATAAAGATTTATCCATCATTTTATAATAAAATAATTGATTATTATAATCTACCGTTAAGTTGTGTTTTTATTCCCATATGGAAATGTCTGAGTCATGGGAAATAATGCGAGTTTTTCCCCATATGAAAAAATAGTTTTTTAACTTTTAAAAATAATTTCCCACCCCCTGATTTTAATACATTTTAAAATTTCCCACCCCTTATATTTGGATGTCTCAAAAAGTTTCAATCCTATTAATATGCCATCTATTGATCGATTTATGATTTTAACTGTATATGTTTTTATATTAATATAACTAACGGTAATAAAAAAACTGTAAATTATTTTATAAATGTTTTAAAAAACGTGTTTTTAATACAAATCAATATATCATTTATTTTTTAAAAGTTTTTAATTTATATACCCGTAAAAACCGTTAACTATCAAAGATATAATTACCGATAATTGTTTGTAATTAATGGCCACAAATCGGCGGCTATTAACCACAATCGGTACCAGTGATCAATAGCGCTGAACCTGATGACCGATGTTTGACACCAATGTCTGGTCATACAACACCGATATCAGTGATCAATGACATACAAACAGATTACCGATATTTGAATCCAATGTTTGATCAGTCAACACCGGTACCACTAATCAATGGCCATCAATCAGATTACCGATATCTGACACAAATGTCATCAGACAACACCGGTACCAGTGATCAACAGCGCTCAACGTAATAACCATAATTTGACACAAATGTCTTGCCCGACAACACCGGTACCAGTTCTCTATGGCCATCAATCAGATTACCGATATTTGACACAAATGTATTGCCCGACAACACCGGTACCAGTTCTCTATGGCCATCAATCAGATTACCGATATTTGACACAAATGTATTGCCCGACAACACCGGTACCAGTTCTCTATGGCCATCAATCAGATTACCGATATTTTACACAAATGTATTGCCCGACAACACAGGTACCAGTTCTCAATAGTCAACAACCAGATTACCGATTATTTACTCAACCGATAGTTATTTTTAAATAAAATATAAATGAATAGTTTTTATTGAATATTAGTTACCGGTAATACCTGTCATTACAGCTCCCTATTCCCCCAATTTTGCTTTTCCCTATAGACTCGTTTAATTTACCAGGGGTGGTAAAAAATACGAGTTTTTTCCCGTATGAAAAATTATTTTTTCATTTTTTTTAAATTCCTTATGGGAATAAAAACACGATTTTACGGTAATGTTGTAATTAACTACATTTAGAAGTTTAACAACTAAAAATCATTTTAAAAAAAAAAATTTATTCACCATTTTCATCATGAAATGATTTTTTATTGAAATCTTACTTTAAAATTTTTAACTAAAATTTTTTTATTATTATTTTGGCCGCCATTTTCTCTATGTTTCTGAATAGATATCAAAATTTTAATGCTAATCCTCTATATCTTATTTTTTCATATGTTATAGTTGAATCTGAAATCAGAATTTCAATATTGGCATAAAAACAATGCTACAGACACACTCAAAAAAATAACGCTCGTTTAGATTTCAGTAAACAAAACTTTTTCAAAGTTTGTTTGAAAATGTTTTAAAAATAAAAAAAAATGCAAATCATTATATAACTAACAATATATAGGTATTATAATAAATATAATAATAATAATAATAATTAAAAAAGAATAGAATTCTATATGTTTTTAGTTTTTATGATTAATAATAAAGATATTAAATATATTAATCTATTATTTTGAATACTAAAAAACAATATTTTTATTTAAATATACAATCACTTAGAAGTAAATTAATGTTAAAACATACTAAACTTGAAATAATAATAATATTAATTATTTTTTATATTTCGTATATAAGTACAATAAAAGTTGATATTTTTTACACACTATTTCAATTAATAAACTCTATATAATTAACTAATAATAATAATAATAATAATAATGTTAATTTTTATTATTTTTATTATTATACTATTACTATACTGGTAAAAAATATAACACATTATTTTTAAATAATAATACTATTATTATATTATAGATTATAAACTTTTAATTAGGTATAAAAACTGTATAATTATATATTTTTTATTTATTTTTGAAAAAATATTTATCAGTCATTTAAAACGCAATCATAACTATTGGTCGGACAGAGGCCTAAACGGACCGAAACCCTGGATATGGTTTGGAAATACATTTGAGGAGTTGTTTCGTCCGATTTCGGTCATCGATAGAGAGAGGCGTCAAAAATATGGACCAACTTATGGGTGAATATAACAATAATAAAAATAAATAATTAAAATTTTAAATAATTTTAAAAACCAATTCTATATTAATTAGTTTTTATTTATTTATTTTTTTTATAAATAAAAAATAACAGTGTGTTTGAATCAAATGAGCCAATTATGGTAACATCGGATCCCCAGTTAATTAAAAATATTTTAGTCAAACATATGAAACAATTTCCAATTTCCAGTCAATCGTCGATAACACCCAATAATCACCAAATCTATAGGTATACCATCAATAAAGTCGATTACCACAGTTGGCTACGTATGCGATCAGTTATTAGGCTATTATTTACGGACAGTTATCTCAGGATAGTTGTCGACAAAAAAATACAAAAAAATATAATTGATTTAACCCAAACATTGGATAGACTATTATTATTAGGACAGTCGACTGTAGTCGTCGACATTAAACAATTGTTTGTCAATCAATCGATAGACCTGTTGGGGTCAGTCATGTTTTCATGGAAACACCAACAACAAAATACCATCAATGGTGATGATCCTAATAATAAATTTACCAAGCTAATTAAATGTCTATTATTTCCATCAAAATGGCGTATACTAGCCCATCAAGTTTTACCTGAATTTTGTCTACAGGTGCTCAACATTACCAATATTATTGAAATCGCTGGACTCGACCAGTTTGCTGAACTAGTAGCCGAAGAGTTTACTAAACGACTAAAACCTACCGAAACCATAGCTTATGACGATTTTTTTCAGACACTACTCGATCGGTGCCCAGAATTCATCGATAAAACAAATGGTAAAACATTAGGTAAAACATCGGAAAAAATAATTATCAATAATATTATAATTAATTAATTAGATCAGCAATGGATGACCAAAGAGGAAGTGATGGCCAATATGTTCGCACTATTTGATGGAGGATTTGTCGGTCACTACACTTCGATGACATTTCTGATCTATGAGTTGGCCATCAATACTGATTGTCAGCAAAAATTATACGACGAGTTAATTAATAGTAACTGTTTTGTGGACAGTCGTCTGAACGGTCAGTTTGATTGGGAAACAGTCGGCAAACTTGACTATTTGAATGCCTGTCTATCGGAATCATTGAGACTACACTCGGCTATCAATAGAGACGGACGGTTAGCCAATCAGGACTATACAGATGAGACAACCGGTTAGTGTCAATCATTATATATATATATAATTATTTATCGTATTTTTTATACACTGTATATAATAATTATAAAGTAATAATAATTAATAGTATTTATGATATAAATAGAGTATTAAATTATTTTATATACAAACAACTGGTTTTACAATTATATGTTTATATTAATCCTATTTTTTTGTTTGTTTAGTAATATTAATATTAGTATAACTTTTTTTTAATAATTTTAATTTAATTTATTTTATTTATTTTTGTTGTTGAACAACTATAAAGGTTTGACTATCAAAAAAGGTCAGGAAATTCAGTTATCACATTCAGCAGTACAACAGTGTCCCGATTACTACCGAATGCCCGACCAGTTCATACCCGACCGGTTCGTCAAACATAACAAACACCAATTGGTTGACTCAGCGTATCTGCCGTTTGGTTTGGGCCGTCGTATGTGTCCCGGCTATAAGTTTGCCCTAATGGCCATCAAATTGACCATGGCACATTTGCTTATTAGATACAAGTTTGTAGCAATCGATGGCCAAACTGTACTGAAAATTGATCCAATTATGGAAAACTATGTCTATTGTCCGCAAAAATTATTGATAAAAATTGAAAAACGAGTTACAAATTAATAAAATGTTATTATTTTTTATTAATAAAAAAATAAATTAATAATATGATAGTTAGTTTGAAAAATTATAAATGAATAAATAATTTATATATTAATATATTATAATGTATAACAATTTTATTTTTAAAATTTTTAATTAACTATTTTTATTTAGTTTAATTTTAAATAATTAATTTAGTTATTATTATATTATGTTTAGTTTTTGATATATTAAATAAAAACATTTGTTGAATAATTTTTTAATTAAATATTTTTGGGACTAAAATACACACACACACACACATATATATATATATATATACAGTATATATATTCACTACAAACTAAATATAATTACATTTAATTATAATACCTAAACATTAAACTTCAAATTTAGTACTTAACTTTGCATAGTTTTAAATATAATTTAAAATATTAATATATTTAACAACATGTAAAATATAAATCAGTATTTATTATTTTAACTTACATATAATTAAAGATATATAATTAGTTTATGTATATATATATGCTATTAGTAGATCAAAATATAGTAAACAGTTATTAACTAAATATCAATTAACTATTTATATATTGCATATATTACTAAAAAATTAAACTGTTTAAAAAATTATTTAATTAAATATTAATCGTTTTTCAATTTTCAAATACAACTTTTCCGGACAATAGGTATAGTGTTCGACAATCGGATCGGTTTTCAGTACAGTTTGGCCATCGATTGCTACAAATTTGTATCTAATCAGCAAATGTGCCATGGTCAATTTGATGGCCATTAGGGCAAACTTATAGCCGGGACACATACGACGGCCCAAACCAAACGGCAGATACGCTGAATCAACCAATAGGTGTTTATTGTGTTTGAGAAACCGGTCGGGTATGAACTGGTCGGGCATTCGGTAGTAATCGGGACAGCGCTGTACTGCTGAACGTGAAAACTGGATTACCTGATCCTTTTTGATGGTAACACCTAAATAAAAAAAAAGTTGTAATTATTAGTAAAAAAAAACTATAACTATATATAAATTTAAATAATAATAGTTAACTCAAACCGGTTGTCTCATCTGTATAGTCTTGTTTGGCTATCCGTCCGTCTCTATTGACAGCCGCGTGTAGTCTCAGCGCTTCCGATATACAGGCATTCAAATAGTCAAGTTTGCTAAGTGTTTCCCAATCAAACTGATGGCCAATTGTTTGGTTGGTAGAGCTGTTGTTATCCTGAAAACAGGTAACAATTTCATCGTAGACTCGTTGCTGACAATCAGGATTTACGGCCAACTCATAGATAATGAATGTCATGGATAGTGAGTGTCCGTCAAACGCTCCCTGAAATAGTGAGAACATATTGGCCACCACTTCCTCTTCGGTCATCATTTGATCTATTGATGACATTTCTATCAAAAATTATTAGTATATATAATACATGTAAAAGTTATAAAACAGATAATCCATTCAAAAATAATTAACAATCATTTGGATGTCTGACCCGATATTTCATTAGTTTTACCCATAAATTCCGGACACCTATTGAGCAGCGATTGTAAAAAGTCTTCATAAGTATCGGTAGTCTTCTGGCGTTTAGTTAACTCCTGTTTAGTTAGTTCAGCGAACTGGTCGAGCGCTTCGGTAGATATAATGTTAGACATGTTGAGCACCTGTAGCATGAATTTTGGTAGCACTAGTTGGGCTAATATACTTGATTTAGAGGGAAAAAATAAACGTTTAATAAGTTGTGTTAGTTTATTAGTATTAGGATCGTTATCGTTGAATATATTATTTTGTTGTTTCCACGAAAACATAACACTTCCCATCAAATCTATAGACTGATTGACAAACAACTGCCTAATGTCGACTACTAGTGCTGACGACGATGACGACTGACCAACCAATTCATTGTCCAACTCATTGGTTAAGTCAACTAAATTGTTGTCAATTTTTTCGGCCAATGATCTGAGTTTCTGATCCGAAAACAATGTCCTAATGACGGCTCGCATCCGTAGCCAACACTCATCGCCGGTATTGTCGACGACATACCTATAGATTGGATGATCGCTTGGTGTTAGTAATGCTGGCCTTGAATTGCGAAATATATTGAAATCTTTGATCATTTAATGATCATTTGATTGATAACTGTGGATCCGATGTCATCATAATTGGCTCATTTGATTCAAAAACACTTTTATTATAAATTAAATATTTAAAAAAAATACTAATTATTTTTATATATCTATTTATGAATCACCCATAAGTTGGTCCATATTTTTGACGTCTTTCTCTATCGATGACAGAAATCGGACGAAACAACTCCTCAAATGTATTTCCAAACCATATCCAGGGTTTCGGTCCGTTTAGGCCTCTGTCCGACCAATAGTTAAAATTACGGTTTAAATAACTAAAAAATTATGTTTTTTTTAAATAAATATTATTAGTTTTAGTACATTTTAATTATACTTTATTTTATTTATTTATATAATTATTAATTTTGATATAATATATACAAAAATAAATTTTTAATTTAATATTATGTTATATTTTTACCAGTAAATAATTACTAATATTATAATCATTACAATCAATAAAAATAACATTTTGAAACAAATAGTTTTTTCTTTATGTTTTTTTAATAATTAAAATATTAGATTTAAAAAATATATAAATATTTAGTATTCTTATATACAATTGTTATTAAAAACACTTTTTAGGATTATTATATATATTGTATATAAAAATAAATTATTAAATTAATTTCGGAATTTTTTCGCTGAATTTAATTGATTTTTTTATTTTAAATTATTTATTATATTATTTATGTTTTATAGATAAAAATTCTTTCAATAATTTATTAGATATTTGACTTAATATTTAACAATTATATTGTTATACACTTATTGATTGTTAATTATACTTATTTTTCTGTACGTAATTTTTTAATTATTAATTAATAGACAGTATATATATATGATTTTACAGATTTTTTTTAGTAATTAACTGACAAATTATTTATCTATAAAAAAAAGTTTTCCATAATTAAAAATAATAATAAATTTTGTTTAATAACTTTTTTTTAGTTAAAAACTAAAGTATAAATATATATATATATACAGTATATTCAATATATATACAAATTTTTGTCTAAAATATATGAAGTACTTTTTTTTAATTATTATAGTATTAAACAATTTTAATTTAAAAAAAATAAATATTATTAAAAATCATTAGTTTAGATGAATTTATTTGATAGATTAAAATCAAATAATAATAATTGTTATGTTGTTAATCAAACTACTAGTACTACTACTACTACTACTACTACTACTACTACTACTAATAATAATAATAATAATAGATGTAGTAATTTAATAGTTAATAATAATTTTGTAAATACAGATAATAATAATACTAATAATACTAAAAATTGTTTAAATAATTTTATAACTAATAAAATTAAAAGCAAAGATTTTCAATTAATTATATTATTATGTTTTGTTAATCTGTTTGTTGGTATAATTGTTTCAATGATTGCACCGTTTTTTTCCATTGAGGTATTCAAATATAATATTGATTTTTAGTTAAATATATATATATATATAAATTAGTTAAAAAATATTAATCATTTTTTTTGTTGGTATTTGTAGGCTAAACATAAAAATATTAGTCAAACATGGATCGGTATAATAATGGCCATTAATCAATTGACCATATTTATTGTATCGCCAATAATTGGCAAATTGGTAGATATATATATATATATATATATATACAGTTTATGCCACTTAAAAGTTAAAATTTGAGTTTAAATATTATGTAATGCTTTAGCAAGGTACTTTATATAACTTACCTAAACTAAGGTAAGTGTATACTATGTTACCTTGCTTAGCGTAAAGTTAACTGTACACGATATTACTCAAATTTAAACTTTTAATTGGCATTATTTGTATGTATATATATATATATAATTATATAAAATAATTTATTTTTTTTGATATTGATATGTTTTAATCAGAGTTGCTAAGGGGTACTGGGCGGGGGTGTCAACTTTTATTTACTTTTTTTGATAATTTAATTTATATAAAAATTTTATATTAAAGAAATTTTAATTTTTTTAAAAACTTAATTTTAATCTAATAACTCACTAATGATTATAATTTATATATAAAAAAAAAATTTAAGATTAATTTCGAAAATTCTACTAATAAATTAATAAGATTTTTATTTAAACATATAGATAATTTTTTAAAAATTATATCTTATTAAGATCATTAAAAAAATAATATTATTATATTTAGATTGAGCATTATTTAAAAAAAATAATAATGAATTTTTATTTAATGCAAACAAATTTTTAAAAAATATTTTACAAAATTGATGTAAAATAAAAGTTAGTAAAAAAATTTAAAGTTAATTTAACAAATTAATTATTTTATATATTATAAATTCCCACTATTATAAATACCCTATACCCACCCCACCCCCCTTAATAAACCCCCAAAATATTACTTAACATTGATATATATATATATCTATATATTTATTTTAAACAACAACAAAATAGATACCACCATTTAAACCAAAATTATTGCTAATATTTGGTACATTGTTTTTCGGTATAACTTGCATTAGCATTGGGTATAATAATAATACAAATAAATTTGTTTGTTTTTTTTAATTAATATTATTTTTTCTATTAACTATTTTATTGTGTGTGTGTGTGTGTATGTGTATACCAACAATCAGTTTTCTCAAATGGTTAGCACCGGGCATACCGTTTCTGGTGACGGCAATCATATTGATTATAATTGCAGCCATAGCTGATGCAGCACTTACTACAAGCATATGGACTATAATTAGTCAACAATTTCCCGAAAAGTTTTCTAAATTAGCGGTAAATTTAATTAAATTTAATTATTGAAATTAATAATTATTATTTTTAATTATAGTCAACTATAGAGACGTGTTTGGGTATTGGTTTAGTAATTGGTCCGGCAATCGGTGGTTTATTAAGTCAAGTAATAATAATAATAATTAAATAAAATTAATTGCATTATTAAATTACTAAAAAATTAGATTTTTTAATTAGATTTTTTCCCTAAAAAAATATGCTTAATCTGTATAATAATAATATTGTTTTTAAATTTAATGTTTTGTATTTGTTTTTGTATTATTTGTAAAATAATAATTTAGCTTGGTGAAAAATCTAATCTATCATTTAGTTTGCCATTTTTTCTAATCGGTTCACTACTAGTAATTGGCTCAATATTAATGGTTATAGTGTTGGCAAAAATAAGTAAATTGTTTGTTTGTTTTGAAGTTTTATAAAAATTTTTATAAAAAAATATTTTTTTTTGCAAAACAAACAAACAAACAAAAATCAGACAATCAATTGACAACAGTTTTAACGGAAAAGTCAAGTGTTTTCAATGTTTTAATCAATTTTAATATAACCGTAAATATTATCAATTGTATAACCGTTCACGTGATTACCGGTTTCAATGATACAACACTTCGACTGTATTTAGATTCGGTATTTAATAATTAAAAATTTTAATTTTTTTTATCAATTATGTGTTATTTTTTAAATACATGTAAATTTTTTTTTGTTTTTTAAAAAAAATTAATTATTAGATTAATTATTATTATCATTAGTACATATAAACAAACATTTTATTTATTTATTTTTTTTTAAAAAAAAGATACAAAAGCTATCGTCGACATCAATCGGTGGCATATTTCTGATATTTGGCTTATTTTTTTCGTTATCCAGTTATATATTTACCTATTTTGTCGACAAACTGGTGGATAATTGTCATCCAATATCACTAATCGGTTGTATATCATCAGTGATAGGCCTTATAATTATAGGTCCCATGCCATTCATACCTATAGACTGGTAATTAAAAATATTAATATTAATATATATATATAATTGTATAATTTGTACTAGTATATGATTTTTAATCTAACTAAATTTATTATTATTATTATTATTATTAACTTTTATAATATTAGTCAACTATGGCCACCAATTGTTGCCCAGGTATTTATTGGTATAGGAGCGGGTGCACAGTTTATTAGTAGTTTTGTACAGCTATTTCGTGAAACATTGTAAATATTACATTTTTTTAAGTGTATTATAAATTACACACACATTACTACTACTACTACTACTTAATAAACAATTGCTATTTTATAATTATTTATAATTATACTTAATTTTAAGATTTTTATTTTTAACTATAGTATTATATATTTTTTATTTAAATTAATTTAATTATCAGTAAATCTGGTTTTCCCGATAATATTTCCACACATGCAGTAATTTCCGGTATATTTTCATCAGCAATGGCATTGGGGTATATATTTATTTATATATTTATTTATTTATAGTATATAAC